AACAGGCAACAAGCAACTGGTGAACTGTCCAATCAGCGAGCGCTCTACTGTCATGTGATACTTCAAGATGGAACAGCTAACAAAATTAACATGGTCCGTGGAGATGGAAGACATGTTGGTGGAAATGTGGGCTGAGCGGCCAGTATTGTATGATGTAATTGCTTTTGTTGTTGTATGTACGGCGCCATTTTGAATGATCACATGATATCGGCATTCCGGATACATCCGGGGAAAAATTGCTTCTCGTTGCCAGTCAGCGCACACGGGAGACCTCGAGTTGCCAATTGCTCGGAGTTGCCAGTAGTTGCCTATTGCAGCAACAAGTGACGAAAAGTTGACCGTCTGCGCCAAGCTTAAGTCAAATGACATGGTTTCTATCCCAACCTTGGACTTGATATTTGTATATAATATATTGGCTACAGGACCCACAATATTATGTATATATATATTATATATATATATATCAGATCAAGTGAATGGATCCATTGTTAACAGTTGCAGTAAAATAATAACTGAACATTAGTTTTGACATTTATTTCCCATAAAGATATATTTGGGCTGTTGAGTTGTGTATACAGTATGTACATGTATCTATAACCATGATAAAGTTGTCTATTTTTTTTTAATGAAAAAGTGATTAAAACTTCAGTTGTAATTCGTACATTTGTACATAAATGTAGTTGCAATTGATGTACACAGTTGCAATTCAACACAGGTGCAATTCATACATGTAGATCAAGTAAAAAGTCATATTTTGATTGTTTTTAGTGATTGTCCGATATGGCTACTATTGGTTTACCGATATCAGATATTGACAACGAAATATATCGGTCGATACAGATACAATTACCGATAGTGGTGTATATAAAACCATTACACATCAAAATGCCCCGAATGTCATGATAATCGATGTAGTTACATGTCATTGTTAGTCAGGAAATGCCTGGTACTATTTTACCTCGAGAATAAAACCTTGGGTCATGCTTCCTACGCAGTCAAAAATATGCACCATTTAAATTGTGAACTTAATTGTTTGCTGTATGATTAATTAATAAAGTCTAGATTATCAGTTAATAAATATTGATTACTATATAATTCCCTATATTTTAATTGGCCCCTGTATGTCTATAATAGAATGGTTCATACGATGTCAAAGTGATAGCTTCCCGTGTTTCAACAATAGGAATCATGTGACACATTCTATAACTAAAGTTGAAAATAAAACCAATAAAGTATGATGTATATTATGGGTTATTAAATCTTGATAACGATACACATCATGTCTACATTTTTGAAGTATGATCTATATTATGAGTTATTAAAAGCAGGTACATAACGATACAAATCACTATATTATGTTTAAATTTTTATTGGCATATATAAGCCTGTATGTCAGATGCCGTTCTGACAGTAATCATGTGACATCAACAGACCTTCCCCCCTCCCATCCTTCATCCCAGTCAAGCGTTTACAAAGTTATATTTTCCCACTTATTCTAAAACTTCTACGCATTAGGACAGTGTGCAGACAATACCAGTAGTGAAGTAGTCACTTCAAAATTTATTAACACACAAACAATATAATGTTGAAATGATGTATCCCTATTTCTATTCTCATTTATGCGTTACACCGTATCAAATAGCAATACTGATTTTATACTTAATTATTCTTTAAATGTAAGAGATTTCTGGAGCAAAACAACTCATATTACACGGAAAAAATCTCTAAAACATGTCAACAGAATATTCAATTTCTACTTTTACATTAGTACATGTATATAAACATTTAATCTATTTTGCTTTCTTGTTAAATTTGTGATAAATGCGACATGCACATGTCTTTCTCTACAATGGTTATGATGCACAACACTTTTTTGACACAATAACTGAGCTAGAATGTTCAAACTTGTTGTAGGTTTTCATTAGGTGTCTTGTCTTGATGGAGTTTGATGAACATTTTCGGCTAACACTAAGCAGGGATAAGCAATTTGATTTGTCAATACTTTGGTGTAAATGGTTATTAGGTGAATGCTTTAATGGCGTTCAAAGATGAGTATTTTTATGCTTAGGCTAAGCAGAGATAAGCAATTTGATTGTTCATACTCTGGGACATGATAACTTTGGTTCTAATTAAGTGAGAGTGATAAAACTTGGCGTATAGTTTCATTACATCAATACATGTACCTTGACTAAGTTCGATAATGAGCATTTACTGCTCAGGGTAAGCAGAGCAATAAGCAGTTTGATTGGTTGAGACTTTGGAGCTAGATAACTTTGATTCTTATTGAGTGAGAGTGATGAAAGGGACCGTACAATATAAATAAATACAATTATATTTTCATAAAATTTCGTCATTTTTCATAAAATTAATATAAAAGAGAAAAATATGATAAAAAAATATAAAATTTCACTATTTCTCATAAAATGAGACGAAAAATTTCTCAAGATATAAAATTAACCATAAATCGCTACTCCCAATAATAAATTTCTATACTTATAAATCCAGTTTTAATTAAGAAAAACATCCAGGCATTTTATGACCCTCAGCTTGTTGCTCTTAGTCTTTCATTTTCTATATGACAATGTTCACTGTTCAGTTGATGTCATGATGCTACATGTATATAAAATGAAATTAAATGAAATTTGGATATAACGTCCTACTGTTCTGCTCCGACTGGGCTATGCCATACAGTGTGCTATGAGGAAATTTTGCCCTGAAAGCAGCACTAAGGCCTACTCTTATATCAAATTCCAACTGCTAAGGGATCAGTGCACGCCAATGCGTACACAGGACCATGGTTTTTCATATGATATGAACGACTATCCAGCTGTCCTTGTCAAGCCCTGTGTCCTGCACCACTGACAAGGGGAAACAAGCCGGAAAACCCTGATGAACTTTCACGGCCAACACCAGGACCAAACCCGTCACCTCAAGGCTAGCGAGCCATCATCTCACCCACTTACCCACTGTGGCTATATGTATATGAACATAGGATAAGATGACTGAGACCATTAATGCCACCAGTGCTACTCTTGGGACGTTCTTATCCGCATAACACTGGCTGAACACTACTTCATGGACTGGGGATAAGTTGTTTACTGTCAGGGCAGTAAAAGACATAATACATATATTTGATAATGATAAAAACATAAAAAGTCATGAAATGTGACAAAAATATTATCAAAACAACACAAAATTTGATAAAAACATCATAAAAATCATAAAATTCCACAAGAAACTTTCATAAAAATATAATTTATGACAAAAATCTATATCAATACCTTGACTAAGTTCCATGATGGGAATTTTCTGCTTAAGCGATAAGCAATTTGATTGGTCAAGACTTTGGAACATAACAACTCTGCTTTTAATTGAGGTAGAATGTTTAAACTTGGTGTAGATTTTCTGCTTAAGTTAGGCAGAGCTAAGCAACTACATTGGTCGATGCTTTTGACAAGATTATTTTGATTCTAACTTAAGGAGAGTAATGAAATTTCGTGAACATTTTATGCTTAGACTAAGAATAGATAATCAGTTTGATTCAAAAAGATAAATGTGCAATTAATTAATGTGTCATCTATTTATTTGCGGACATAGCCTCACTGTTGACTTGTTTTAGGATTTCGCTGAGAGACATCTTGCTGTTGGCTTGTTAAAACTATATTTAGATGTAATTAATTTACATGTTTTGTTTCGATTTTGCGTACACTTTCAAATTTGATAGATTACATCATTTTGTTTACGCTATATTTCAAGTTTCGTTAAAATCAGATAAGAATTGTAACTTGTAGAGTGTCCATCCACAAACAATTTGTGGGCAGACGTCCGGACAAACAGTGGTTTACGCCCTAAAAGTATTGTACAGCGCAGGCCAAAAACCTGTTACCCGTTCTGATTGTAGGCCTACTGTCACGAAGCATGAATTTTTTATTGGAGACTATGTAAATGTAGAAAATTATGTCACTCAGTGTAAATGGGTCAAATTGTTTTAACCTTGGTTCTGCTACTGATTTTGGATAGATATTAAATGTACATGTATATCTTTGATATATGATATATGCCAGAATAAATGTTTAATATAAAAAGTTTGAAAAATCAAAAGTTTGTTTTATTAAAAAAAAACTATTTTGGTCCAAAAATCAATTTAAATCAAATAAGTTTACATTTTTTTCCAGTTGATTTTCACCACCATTTTTCTCTTACAAGCCAGTCTTCTACATTTTCTAAACTTAGATAACTATCATTACATTTAAATAGTACCCATATTTAACTACAGAAATCTAGCTTAATGTTCTGGCCTTTTGTGCCAAGACTCTGATGTACCAGTATTTTAAGGTGATGTGTATCTGCTCCACCTAGTAAACCAAATTTACATTATTCTGATTGTTTTGCTCCATTTAGTTTGGGAAGAGCACTTTTTAGAGAATATGCACATGTTCCATCAGTTTTGTGGAATCTATTGAACAGTCTATTATCAAATGTTATTAACCGATTTGCTTGAAACTCGCTTGCATGTTGTTGGCCACATTGGAGAATATTGTGAGTGCTCCGACAACACAATTTACAACAATTTCATATAGTAATTGAATATAGAATATTGTGAATGATAGTAATGTTTACCAGTAGAAACCTGTTGCTGGGGTTGTTGTGTGTGTGTTATGCTAAATGGGGTTGTGTGTATGAGTGGTATAAATGAGTCTGTCACTGTAATGTTGTGATTTCAGGCTTGTTCATGAGGAGGAGTAACATCACCTCACAAAGTAGTAGGATAGTCTACCTGACCTTTTGGGTTTTCCTCTGTTCTCCGGTCTCGTCCCACTTTATTAAACATTTACCATATTTGCCCCAAATGGTGAACTCTCCCTCTCGAATTTCCAAACAATATACTTACATTTAGCTACATGTAGGTTTTGTGTTGGTATATGTACATGTACATACATGTAAAATGGCATCAGACCACAAAATGTATATTTATGGGGTTTTTTTTTTATGTTTTTCAGTAAACACATGTGATAGAAAAGAACCTCGACATCATCATGATGGAGAGGGCATGTTGGTCATGTCACCTGATGCCAACAACGAATCAAAGAGTTTTTTCCAAGGTAAGCAACTCTTGATGGCTTATGGTATTCCCTTAGATTTGCTTAAAGGAGTTAAACATGTTTCATTTGGTTAAAAAAAGTATTTAATTGGGTTGGTTAATGTGTTAGTTCGATTAGTGAAAGACAGAAAACTTAATCAATTTAAATTCGGATTTGGTATGATAAGCAGGAATTAACTTGTTTAATAATTTTAGATTTATGTCAATAGTGGAACACACTGGCTTATCTATTGTCCGAAAGTTTTGTAAAAGGCAGATTATCATCCTGAAAAACAAATCGTCCCCAAAAAAGCAATGAAATCATCAAGTTTTATTTTAGAAGTAAATCAATCCGATCTACTGTTAATTATTTTAACTATCAATAAATACTGTCTCATAATCTGCAAAATGCCAACACTCATATTTAGTTAAAAGTGATTGAGAAATAACCACAGCATTATGCTTGTGAAAAAAGTTGAACAAGGATGTATGGAGAATATTTCAATAAAAAATGTCTGAATAATAATCCTACTACCGGTAATTGAGCTGAACAAAAATTGTACTACCAGCAATTAAGCTGACTGAAATCATCTGATAGATAAAAGCCCTGATGTTGTTGGTTAAGCAGTGGACACATTAGCCGAATCGTTCGGCCGAACCAATCGGCGCCGAATGGGTGGACACACTTGAATGCTTCGCCCGATTCAACCTGTCGATTGCATCACCTTTCACGTCACATGATTAAACATGGCGGCGTCTATGTCTTCAATCTATCACGTGACTTCTCGATATAAGTGGTGATTGGCTAATGAATTCTATATTCGGCCAAGCGGACACACCAGGCGAATATAATTCGGCCGAATATATCAAACCTAGGCGAATTTCGACGCCGATTGATTCGGCCGAACGATTCAGCAGAATCATTCGGCTAGTGTGTCCACCGCTTAACAGAAAGAAAGAAAACATGGATAGATATTAATGTGACATGGACATTTTTGTTTTCAGTGTCTTCGCCACCAAGCCCAGCTGATAGTGGAGTATCAGATATAGATAGTAGTTCAGATGAAATACGACTGAAACATCATTCCAATCCAGGTACAATTATTAAATTGATGATGAAGGAGGGATGCATCATGCTTTTATTTATATTTATGGCTACTTTGGATTTGATAATAATTTTACAATCATTTTGTACTGTTGAATATGCTATGAGTATGAACACTGTACTTTGGGAATATGGATCAAAAATAATATCAGATAAACATCAGCTAAACTTAGCTACAGTATGTAGAGACAATTCCTCTGGGGCTTGTACCAGTTCAGTATTAATATTAGGCTGGTTGGAGAAGGTGACAAATCCAGCTTTGTGGGAAGAATATTTGATGATTTTATTGATGGTGATCCGAATGAATATTTTATGGTGTCCAGAATGTTCCTCTTGTCTATTTGCTTGCTTTTGTTGCTTTATTCACAACACGTCTCCGCCATTTTGAATTTTGACATCACAGTTCTGCCATTTTGTATTCTGACGTCACGGTGACGTCGTACATTACTCTTTACATCATTTCTGGAATCCTTGGTATCACTTTCCTATATGTTGATAATACATTTCTAGGCTGTAAAATTGATATTTTTGAAGTTATAAATGGTTTTCAGTTTCATTATGTTGACCAAGGGGGTCAAAATTTCAAAATGCTGTTAAAAATTTTGCTCAACTCCGATCGGCGGGGAAAATTTTTCTGGAACGCTGTTTAAGGTCTTGAGACGAAGAAGCCTATTGATTTTCAGCGATTTCCGATAATTACTGTCAGAGTTTTGGCCCTTGATCACATCAAAAAATCTTGTGGACGCTCTAGAGGCCAAAGTTAATATCCGATTGACTTTAAATTTATACACAGTGTTTAAGGTCATAAGACGAAGAAGCCTATTGATTTTCAGCAATTTACGATAATTACTGCCAGAGTTATGGCCCTTGATCATTTTGAAAAATCTTGTGGACACTCTTAGAGTCTAAAGTTAATATCCGATTGACTTTAAATTTTATACACAGTGTTTAAGGTCATGAGACGAAAAAGTGTATTCATTTTCAGCGATTTCCGATAATTACTGCCAGAGTTATGGCTCTTGATCACTTCAAAAAAATCTTGTGGACTCTCTAGAGGCCAAAGTTATTATATCCTATTGACTTTAAATTTATACACAGTGCTTAAGGTCATGAGACGAAGAATCCTATTGATTTTCAGCAATTTACGATAATTACTGCCAGAGTTATGGCCCTTGATCATTTTGAAAAATCTTGTGGACACTCTTAGTGTCTAAAGTTAATATCCGATTGACTTTAAATTTTATACACAGTGTTTAAGGTCATGAGACGAAAAAGTGTATTCATTTTCAGTGATTTTCGATAATTACTGCCAGAGTTTGATCACTTAAAAAAACCTTGTGGATGCTCTAAAGGCTAAAGTTAATATCTGATTGACTTTAAATTTATACACAGTGTTTGAGGTCACAAGGCGAATAATCCTATTGATTTTCAAAGATTTCTGATAATTATTGCCAAAGTTATGGACCTTGATCACTTTGAAAAATCTTGTGGACGCTCTAGAGGCCAAAGTTAATATCAGATTGACTTCAGATTGATAAACAGAGTTAAAGATCTTGAGACGAACAAGTATATTGATTTTCAATGAATTTTTATGACTTGGAACAACTAAATACATGATACAGTATTAAAAGTTTTGTATACAAAACGTTAGCATGGGGCAGAACTTTATAAAAACCAAACAAATTCTAATGGTTTTCTGAGTTGTTGCTCTTAATCAGATTTTAGTGTATTATAAATGTTTCATTACCGAAAAAAGTAAAAATATGCGACAACTCTTGTTGACTGCCCGGACGATTTAGTTGCTGTGGGCGTATGTTTTGTTGCCTGGCAACCTATCTTTTAAAAATGTTTTTCTTTTCAGTTTTTTTAAATGCTCAAAGAAGCCATGTTCCAAATTCATTGGTATCTGTGCCATTCCTTCCACCATTTTGTCAACCACCTCCAGCACATCAACCTCTTCCTGCTCATTTTAACTCCGCAACACATATAGCCATGAGACCAGGTTAGTATTACAAACACGTAATGAAATAAAATCACGTTGATATTGTACAAAACACATTGCTAGAAAAGGGATCTAGCTAACAATGTAAGAACACATAACTAATAATAGCATAAAAACACAATGATAGCCATGAGATCAAGTTAATACTGTAAAAACACATTGATAGCCATGAGATCAAGTTAATACTGTAAAAACACATTGATAGGAATAAGTTAAATTAGTATAGAGGCATGAAATCAAGTAAATAGTATAAAAACACATAATACTATCTTATAACACGTACAACACTACTAGTGTTTCATTGTTCATTGATTACCAATGACATCCTTTTATTGTTTCAAACCGAAAGTTTATTATTATTTGTTATCCGTGTCTCCTATAGTACAGTTAACTTTGAATCTTGAATACAGGTAAAAAACACCAAGAGGGTTGTATTGATTTTAAACTTTCCATGTAAAAATTGTACTGTTTAAAATTTTCAGATCATATTTTTGAAGCATTAAATCCAGTAGATTGTTCCCCTTTACATGCTCATCCTAAAGAAAACCAAAATTACACTGTATCACCTCCTGTACTCAAACTCAAATTAAAGAAAGGTTAGTTATATGTTATTGAAATATAGATTTATGGTTTGGAGGATCATCATTATTATATGCCAGTGTTGAAATATTGTGTATTGTCATCCCACTATCATCTGGTTGACATGCAATTTATACAACGCTTTAATGTTAAGGAGGCTTAAAAATGTATTAATTTTTAACAATTTCCATTAATTACCATCTAAACTATTATGGCCTTTGCTCAATTTGAACCTTCTAGAGGCTAAATCTATGCAAAGTGTTTAAGTTTATGAGATGACAAATCCTATGGATTTTCATTGTTTTCCGATAATTACTGTTGAAGTTATGGCCCTTGATCAATTTGAAAAAATCATTTAGACATTTAAAGCTTAAAGAAATAATAAAAACTTGCAAAAAACCTAACTAGACTGACATTGACTTCAAGTAACAAATAAATCATAAACGGGCGACATAAGGTGTTGGGTTTTTTTTTAGGTTGAAATATGTCAAAAAGAAAGATCTGATTTCTAAGAAATTGTAATTTATTATATTACATTGTGCAAGTGTAATTACTCTAGATATTTATCTATAAGGATATTATTCATTTCCTATTGCCACTACTGAAGTCTTAAATCCTGTGTTTACCTAAAGTATGACATCAAAAGCTTTCAATATATCACTAGGTAGTCAATATAATAGAATAATAAAAGGTTGTTTTTCAAAACTTGAACAGTTATATGACATCAAATAATTCTTGAAATCAATTAATCATTATGTTTAATATGTTATGACATGAATAGTTTATTTTATATATTGCTAAGTAATGGATTTTTTTAAATGATCAGTTTTATTTTGTTTGTGTTTAAAGGTCGAAAACCTAAATCCAGTAGTCTTCAGTTAGATTCGTGTAGCCCTATGCTGCCTAGACGCAAACGAGAAGGTATGTATGTTGTATTTCTTGTTTTTAAGAATAATCTTTTCAAATGCATGTAGGGAGTAGGGTTGCCTCTCCAAACCTTGTCGTTTTTTTCTGGGTCCGCCCATTGCTAAAGAAACCTATGCACAAGTAAATTGTTGAAATAAATGTTAGCCCCGAAATGACCCAGATTTGTGTCTAGCCTTTCTCTCTCTATTCTTCTCTCTCCTTCTCTTTTCTTCTCAAGGGTGTTTTCTTATTCCACAATGTACCTGTTTTTCCTCAATATGCCTTCTGTTCTTCTTGACATCCCTACCTTTGTGATCTGCACTTTTCTTCCTCATCTCAGAAAATATGCTTCCTTACACCAAAGTAGAAAAAAAAATCTTCCTCATTCATAGATGAAATATTTTTTTTTTTTTTTTTTTTTTTTTTATAAATTGATATCCTTCCTCATAGCTGACACTTAAAATAATCTTTTCAAAATGGATGTATTATTAAGAAAATGGTTTAGACTAAGTCATGAATATGCTTTACAATTAAAATTCAGGTTATCATTAATCCTAATCATTAAAGCATCAATGTGACAGACGGCCAATGATGATTTTCTTAATTTAAGATATAAAAACAATAAAGACATCAAGGAGCAGTCCCAGATTTCCCATGTTACCTGTTGATAAAAGTGTATTTTATGTGTACAATTTCAATGCTAAAATGTGAAAAGAAATACCAGACATATTAAATTTAACTCAATATTGATTACTTACCACTACACCTTGCAATTTGGAGATGTATCGTCAAAAACTCACAAAACATCGGACAATTTGATAGTAAATTAAAGGATTAAAATAGAATATATATGTTAGAAGTCATCTTTAGCTCAATGTTCTTCAATAGGAATGAAATATCATTCAGTCATCAGCTAACAATCTTGGAGAAAAACAAAAATGGCAGCATGAAATAAATAGAAAGTTATGGTAACTTTAGGATTGATCAATTGATTAATTTCTGGACAAATGTGTTTCTTTATCAAGGCTGATTTTTTATTGTATATTGCCAGAAAGTCTGTATTCACCTTTTAGTTTGGAATAATGTACCTTTAAATATATATCCTTTGTCCAATGTCCAAGGCCCTAATATTTTACCTACTTAATTTCATATGAACATGCTTTTAATACTGTATAGTTTATTTAAAGGAAAACATTATCTTTTATTTATTTTCTGAAAAAAAGTTTTAAGAATCCGCAATCAGAAGTAGAATTCATTTTGTTTTTAATAAGGCTGCGGTTAATAAATTGTTTGTTTCTCATGACCCACCCGCATGTCCGTTTTCACACGTAATAATTACGCACTTCCATAATTATTTGGTCAAATTTAGTGAGGTCCAAAATTTGTCCTTTAAAACTATATTTGTTTGCCTTTAAATATGAACAATGAATTGACGCATTAAAACTCCACTATTTATCAATGAACATGACACCGTAGGTGATAAGTAAAGTAGGCTAGAATGTGAAAAAATCCATCCGTAAAACCGGAAGTGATAAAGCTGTATCATATCTGCCATCCATACCAAGGAATGGTAGCTACAACATTCACCAAAGACCACATATATACTCTATAAGGCACTTGTCATTTGTAATAAAATTCACAGAAAGATATAAATGTCTTTTAATTCCTGCTAAATTATTTTATTTACGTGACTGGCAACCAACGGTCCCAGAACTGCCGCCATGAGATAGCCTCAATCATGAGATACCGACTGGTTGACACTGCATTCATGCCTTTCACCGTATTTTATTAACAACACTATATAAACAGTTTCAAAAGGACACAAAGATACAAATAAATGTCAACAGTTTGATTAAGATAGCCAAAATAATAAAAGTATTCATATTATCATGATGCCATGTGCCGATGATGGGTTCAAAGTTGAAGCGTAAACATACGGGCAATTGCCATAGCATTGGTACTATCTTCCTTCACGGCTAGAGAAACGACCACGTGTGTAGTAAATTCTTTAACTGACCTGTTAAATAATCTAACTTATTTTGTATTTAAAAATCCAAGGGTATGCTTTTAATTATTTATGTCAGAACAAATCATAAACCAGTTTGGAACAGGTCATTTCATAAACCTGTCAAAGTAAGGACGGAAAATAAATGAAATAAATGCAAAGAATGAATGAATTAACGAACCGTTAACTTAGAAGCATATCACTAATAATTTAGACCTATTTACATGTATTATGATCAAGTCTTCCGATGCCCGGCTATTGTGCAACCGATATTTTAATCTATAAAAATATTTAATAAATGTGAATAAATCGCGGACACTGGTTACCGTTGGTTTTTCAACTGACATTAGTTATTGCTGAAATAGAAACAGCATTAGACTAAAAAAAATTAAATTTCATCTCAATAATTAATAATTACCGCATGTAGCATGTATATTTCACAAACTCGGGTCATGAGAAACTGACAATTAATTAACCGCGGCTTAAGCAAACTGTAATGATAGGATGGGAACTGACAGTCACTGTAAATAAACAAACCATCAGCAGGTTCTTTGTTTTCATACGCCCACATGTGGTTGTATATTGCCGTCACCCCCGTCCATATGTCCGTCCGTACATATGTACATACGTCCGTCGTCCACAATTTCTTGTGAACACTCTACAGTCTACATTTATCATCTGATTGTTTTGAAATTGATGTATGTTGTTTACATTAATGAGATGAAGAAGCCTATGTAATTTCAATGATTTCTGTTAATTTCTACTGGAGTTATGGCCCTTGTTTCACTCTGTTGAACCTTGTGAACGCTTTACAACAAAAGTTATCATCCGATCTGTATGAAATTTATATGCATCATTTAAATTAGTGAAACGAAGAAGCCTATTGAATTTCAGCAATTTCCGTTTATTACGTTTAAAGTTGTTTCACTTTGTTGCACCTTGTGAACGCTCTAACAACAAAAGTTATCATCCGATCTTTATGGAATTTATATGCATCGTTTAAATTAAACAAAGAAATCTATTGAATTTCAGCAATTTCTGTTAATTACAGCTAGAGTTATGGCCCTTTTTTCACTTTGTTGAACCTTGTGAACACTCTTACAACAAAAGTTATTATCCAATCTGTATGAAATTTATATGCATCATTTAGATTAGTGGAGCGGAGACGCCTATTGAATTTCAGATATTTCCGATAATTTCTTTTAGAGTTATGGCCCTTTTTTTACTCTGTTGAACCTTATGAACGCTTGAATGATGAAAGTTATCTTCAGATCTGTGTGAAATTTATATGCATCAATTAAAGAATCAATTGAATTTCAGCAAATTCCATTAATATCTTCTGGAGTTATGGTCCTTGTTTCACTTCGTTGCACCTTGTGAATGCTTTGACGATGAAAGTTATTATCCGATCTATATGAATTTTATACAGATCATTTAAATTAATGACACAAAGACACCTATTGAATTTCAGCAATGTCCAAGCATTATGTCTAAGGTTATCACCCTTGCACCCTTGTTGAACTTTGTTGAACCTTGTGAACATTCAAATGACAAATGTTATCATCTGATCTGTACAAAATTTATATGCGTCATTTAAATTAGTGAACCGAAGAATCCTATTGAATTTCAGCAATTTCAAATAATTGCTTGTAAAGTTATGAGCGTTCAAACGTTACAATCCAATATGTATGAAATTTATATGCATTATTTGAATTGGTAAAACGAAAAAACTGGTCAAATTTCAAAAATTTCTGTAAATTACTTCCAGAGTTAAGGCCCTTGTTTCAGTTTGTAGAAAATAATAATCTGATCTGTATGAAATGGTCTTGTAAATAAATGCCCCCAATTATCGACAAAAGAATAAATGTGCGACAACCCGCTCGGACAATTTAGCTGCTATGGGTGCATGTTTCTTTACCTGGCAACCTATCTTTCATATTCATGGCAATGAGTTTTTTGTGTATTCACTTTCCGCCAATTGTTGATGACATGTTATGTTCATATCATCACAGTCAGCTTGTTAATTTGTTTATTAAAGGTGAAATGATTTGTGCTATGTGTTGAGTTATTTTAAAACTTGATAATAGATAAAATACATGCAACAGCTGGACTTAATATATAGGTTGACACATGGAGTTATAACACTTATTGAACTTTGTATTTAGAAAGAATGTATTTCCTTATGACTATAGTTATTGAGTCATATTTTATTATTGGGATGAAATTTTAGTTTTGACCAATTTCACCCAAAATCAGCTGCCCTACTTTCTAAAGGAATATTTGACAAGATTACTGAATGTCCACACAGTCAAATATGCATTATTTTATTGCTAGAATAACACAGTAAAACTACTCTGCTTGTTTTATAACATTAGGTCATATGGAGAATGAATTATGTAAACAATTTTTGCAAAGTGGGATAAAGTATTTAAAAAAAAAAAAAAGAAAATGAATAAAATATTTTGAATAAATGGATAAAAATATTTTTTAAAAAATGGATAAAAATATTTTTTAAAAAATGGATAAAATATTTTTTGAAAATAGAATAAAATGTTTTTAAAAATAGTTTAGTGTAATTTTAACTTTTAGTTACACTAATATCTGGACAACAAACATACTGTGGTGTTCGTACCTCACTTTTCAAGTCCATTTCTTTGCAACATACAGGAATTTTATATATTTACTTATTGTTGCACTATCCAACAAATACCCAATTACAACTCGAGTAGAGAGATAAAGTGTATGATTCAAGGACACAAAAATTCAACCTACATCCCGGGTTATATCTCGCGAACCTCTGTGCCAATTCCCTCCCTTGCCTGCCTTCTTCAGCCTAGTCGGAGCAGAACAGTAGGACGTTAAACCCCATTTCATTTCCCTCCCTTGTAGATATTTAATATTAAACTGACTTTGTTGTGTTTTGTTTTCTTTATTTTAATAAACGTCTTTTATTTAATTTTCTTTACAGGAAATACTACATATTTGTGGGAATTTTTACTTCAATTACTACAGAATCGAGAAACATGTCCACGATATATTAAATGGACAAGCAGAGAAAAGGGAATTTTCAAACTTGTCGATTCTAAGGCTGTCTCAAGGTTATGGGGTATGCATAAGAATAAACCTGATATGAACTACGAAACAATGGGACGGGCTTTAAGGTACGTTAAATTTTATCTAAATTGAAAGTTTAATGTTTCAAACAATATTATTTGTTTACATTCTATGTATTCATTGATATTCAGTTTTTATATTGCCATATGGAAATGTTGTCATATATTGCCATATGATTCTATAATAAGGACTTCCGTCATTTCCCTCGATAAAAGTTATCAACCAATCTGTCAGAAATATATAACGAAACAAAATAGCTTATTGAATTTCAACACTGATTATAAACACATAAGAACTTTAGCATTTATTCTAATGTTTATCGGGGGGGGGGGGGGGAATATTGGAGTAAAATGTACAGACAGAAATGGAACCTGAATATCCTAATAACAGTTATGGTAATACAATATTTAATTCTAATGGCTTGCCATTATTGCAGGGAGATAACTTCAATAACAATTGATCAGATATTTCAGGACAAATAAACACTTGTACTTGATAAGGATAAGAGGATACTTGTTGAATTGTTGCACTATTAAAGTTGCTAGTGATTGTTATCCATAAAGTTGTGGCTGTGTTAATTTAAAAGAAACGCTTTGAATTATAATACCCTAAATTTGACTACTTGCCATAGATCTCATTATAAATTATTTCTTAGAAAAGGCTACTTTCTTCAATTTTGGACCGATATTCCTACTATTAGAGGTACATCTTTCACAATATTGTAGTTTGCAAGCCTATAATTTCTGTTTGCCCATAACCAAATGGCGATAGGCTTATTAGTCAGCAGCATAGATGTATGAAATTTGGATTCAACACGTCTTTGTAAATACTGAACAGAATTGAACCATTTTTGAACCAATATTCCTACTAGAGATTCATCTTTCACACAATATCGTGTTATTGTATATTACAGATATTACTACGCTCGAGGTATATTAAATAAAGTTGATGGACAAAGATTGGTTTATCAGTTTGCTGAAGTTCCCAAGAGAATCATTGAAGTGGATTGTTCATAGCTATATAATACAGTACTACATGTATAATAATAATAATATATAATACCACACTGCTCCTCCAAAGATGTGTTTATTGTATATATGTAAATAATAGACACAGTTCATATTGATTCCATTTATAATTAATAATTACTGTCAGAAATAGTTAATGCCAAATTCTAACAACCAAATAACACTTCCTGTACAGGCATCTACAAGTTATTCCAGCACTGGAAGTTATTATTTTTGTTATAATAATATCAGACACTAATGAACTAGTAGCGAACTTTGGCGTATCCACCTTGTATTACAAATATTAATATGAACTTGATAAAAGTCAAATATTAAATACGCAAGTTTTGGAATTTTGGGTAATTACCTAGATTAGTTATTTTAAGAGGCATTAAATCTTTGGAGATCTTCACGGGGCAGTAAAAATCTCTATTTTTTGCCAATATTTTACTACTAGAAGAATGCCCGGCTTCGCTCGGGGGGTCATAACCCCGAAACCGGAAGTGGTAGACTAACGCCACCTAGCCTATGTTACTCCCAGGTCCGAGCTACCCCTATAAACCAAATTTCAGACTCGGGACAGACCTAGTGTAGCCGCCAACCCCGAACAGACAGACAAACTTCACAAATATTAGTATAGATACAGAAATATTGGGTGTGTCAAATTAGATTACACATTTGAGACACATCTGCCAATCCATAACTGCCATATAGATGTTTAAACTAAATAATTAGCCTAGCCCAGGGTTCTTTTAAATATGAAATTAATTATATTTATTTTCTTGTTGAGAGTTCTAATTCTAATGTGTCTCACATTAACGATTAAGTCTGGTTTGTCTGATTGGCAGACATGTTTGTTTTCCTATTTTTATACGTAAGTGGAAGATGGACAACTAATTTTGGTTGATGCCTGTATTAGTGTGAATCTATGAAAGATTGAGGAATGTCCTACTAATGACAAGTTTAATAATAAAATTCAATATTCTGTGTTAATCTAAAAATACAGAAGTACAACATAAATATTTAGCTATGTTAACTGGTGATGTGGTATGGGGTGTTCTAGATAAGAACGTTGGCTTTCGTTTGATATCTTTGAAATTGCTACAATTTCTTTAAAAGGTTACTTAGTAAAATATTTTGGCAGTAATCTAAAATATACAAAATTCAATTTTTATTTGAATTATGTTATGGCAGTTATAAAAAATTGAATGAATGGGACCATAATAGAAGTACTGCTATGTATCGAAGAATGTTTGCTATGAAGAAGCCTGTACAGAACTTTCTTTGCCTTGAATAGAAATGATGCCCCTGTTGTCATGACCACCAGAGAATAGAACAGTTTTACATACTTGTTCATTTAAACCAACCTTGTTGAGGCTGGATAACAGGAATATATTGAAATCTGTAGACATTATTATCTTACAACGAATAAAAATGAAAAAGCTTGTCAATTCTTCATCGGCATTCAGTTGTACAGCCAATTTGTATTGAATAAAAATTGATTATTTCAGATAAATACAGATTTATGTATATTCTGTCTGACATGTACACTCAAAGCCATTAAAAACACAATGCCAAATCCAAAGTTTATTTACTGCAACAACTTTTAAAAAATGTACATAACAATTGACAAAATCGAGATAACAAGCATCTGTGGATAATTTCATGAAAGAATTCACTACAAATGCACAAAACCGAAACGTCAGAGAACCATGAAACAAAGCAGGGGTCAGCTGAAGTCAATATCGGTTATGTCCACCCTGAGCTCTAACCACATGCCTGAAGTTGCCTTGGCATGGACTGGCACAGATGTCTCACTACAGGCTGTGGGATTGTTTGCCAATGATTTTGGAGTGCCCGTGCCAACTCTGCAACAGTTCGTGGTGGCACGGCTTGAGTTCGAACCCATTGTCCAAGTTCATCCCAAAGGTGTTCGATCAGGGTTCATGTCGGGAGACATAGCGGGCCAATCCATAACACGGACATGATTGTTCAGAAAGTCTCTTGTCAACCTGGCAGTGTGGGGTCGGGCGTTGTCATGCTGGAAAACCATCTGTCGATGGACGCCATGTTGACCCAGCAATGGAAGCAACACCGGACGAAGGTTGGCGTCAGCATGCCAATAGCTCTGTTCCTGTTTTCTTGTGTATGGCGTGGCATTTTTCCGAAGTGATGAATGTTGAAATTTTGATCTGTATTTAAAGGGCCAGAGTGCAGGGAATGCACGTGCAAAACGTGTGACATGGAACTGCTTAAATTCGTGAAAAAAGACAAGTGTTGCGTTGCACGAACAAAGTTCATTACCAAGAACTGATATTGGGTTCAAACCCAAAACTCCACAAAAAGAGACCCGCCACAAGTTTCACCTATGTGCCATAAGATAGGAAAGCCCAAGAAAACGTTTACCAGAAATATTTCATGAATTAGGCATTGCGTTTTTAATGGCTTTGAGTGTACTTGTACAAATTTGTATCCTTGAAAATAACTTGAACCATGTATTTCATATTTCTTAAGATTCGTCTTTGATAAACCTGTCTGTCTCTGCTATGTTTATCTACATGTATAGAATTGATATTTTATGACGTGCAGAGTTGGTTTACTGAAGATAGATCACATTACCTCACAGAAGTAAAAAAACTTGACGTTTACGTTAAGAGATATATGCTCTTTAAGAACTGTTCCATTGTGCTTGCTTTTTTTTTTTTTTTAAATTAATTATAATTTAAGATGGTTTCAGTTTGTGATGAATAATGATTTATTTGGTTGTTTATCTTTGATATGATATGTATGTACAGTATTATTACAAGTAATAAAAATCAGTTAAAATTATTCTTCAGCTATTTTTAGCAGAACAAAACTTACACGACAAAATCTTGTGGATTCATGTGAAAAAAAGGGTTGATTTGCAAAAGGTCTAAGAAATATATTTGGTGAAAAATAAATAAGAAAACAGAACTATATAGATAATGTACTTCCACTTTTACAAGATGAAAACTTTTATCACATATGATTTTATCCTAATTCATAATATCATAGATATTATTAGGATTTTTAATTTTTCCATGATTTCTTTCAAATATAGCTCAATCTTTGTTAACATATTATTTAGAACTTACATATAGAATTTATCTTTTGTTCTCTTTGTGTTCTTGCATGATTATTTAATTTGTAGAGAAATTATTATCATTATTATTATTATTGCCACAATGATTCCACAAAATTTTATATAGTGCTAAAATGTGACAATATTGACGTCCGAGAATGTTCTCGAAGGGTAAAATTATTGTAAATATTGAAAGCTTGCTTGAGAGATAGAATTGGTATTGAAGTTAACATGTTTGAATGTCTGAAAAACCATCAACTATAACAGGGTTAAAAGAAACTCAGTTTTAACTCTTTGCTGATCTATAATTTCCTAATCCTTGATGCAAATTGATATTTGGTTGAAAGAATTGTTTGGCATTTTATGTCTAAGAGATAATTGTAGCAAGAGAGAAATGAATGTTTTAATTCTTACTGTGAAATACCAATATTAAAGCATAAATTATTTAATACATTTTACTCACTGATCTTATGTTTCTACCATTCCCTGTTATTCCATACAATATTTAACTTCTTTAATCTTCTATGTCAATGTTTGTCAGTTAAGACAAAAAAAGAATCATTTATTATACCATTGGACGTCTGACAACATTGTTTCTTATTTTATAATTTGAAGTTCTGTTCAGAAACTTGATGGATATATGTGGGTCTTACTTTGGACACTGGACATTTTTTCTGAAGTAAAAAAAAAAAAATGTTTTCAGACATTATAGTAAATACAATTACTGTAATTATTTTATGTTTTTTTGTTGATTATATGTTTGTTTTGTTTTAGCTTTTGGAATGCTACAATATGCAATTCACATAGGTTTTACACACTGGCCAGTACAACTTTATAGTGTTTTAAAAATTTGTAATTACTCATTTTTTGTTGGTTTATCAAGTTAGTTTAAAGATTTATATTTTTGTTTTTAGATTACAGTTAAAGTTTTAATTCGTACTTTAATAAAATATAGTTATTATACATGAGTTGATCAATAGTATTAAACATGGTTTTAATACCTGTATTAAACATGGTTTTAATACCTGTATTAAACATGGTTTTAATACCTACATAATAGTTGATAAATATAGTTTGTAAATCTAAGTTGATTAAAATAGTTTATAAAAGTAAGTTGATTAAAATAGTTTATAAAAGTAAGTTGAATAGCATAGTTTGAACACCTACATAAATGTGTATAAGTTTATACATAGCTTTAATACATTATTTGATAGACTTAGTATGGTATATACATGTATTTATATACAAATAAAAATTATAGAAAATTAGTTTGTCATATGAAGATAAATTCCACACAATCTGGTTAAAACACAGATCCTATTTCATTTCGTTTTTATAGTTCAAAATTTCGTTTTACTTGTCTTTACTACACTTGGATCTGGAAGAGTTGTTATTTAACTGTGTTCTGAATGGTGTCAGGGATAAGCCAATGAAACGGTCTGTTACGGCCAGCTTTAGGCGTGTTTTTCACGGAACTGTGGGTAATCCACTAGTAACATCAATGCTGATTGGTTAATCAAATGTCTGACATCATAGGGTCATAAGTCAGTCTTTTGACCCCTGATGTGACCTATCGCTATAACTTGTCAGATCTTCATGTAGTGTAGGCCATCGAAAGTATAAAAAAAAAAACCGAAATATAGATGTGTATTTTAATCAGATTGAATTCGACATGAAGTGGATGTCTGGCTAGGAATTGAATAAGGTAGATTTGATATGAAAGAAAAGTGTTCCGCTTAAAATCAACATCTTTGGCTCCTCTATGACCACACCTTCTTTAGCATGCCTGGAAACCTAGTGGCTCATGCTAATGTTTCAACTTCAAACCAAAACTCTTAAAGCTGTAATGCTAGCCAAACAATTGCTTAGCTACAAGTAAATGTATCCTAAAGCAAGAACTGATGTTTTAGGGAAGGACATAGGATTTGTTAGAATGTGCTTCCAATGAATTTTGTAGAAAGTGTTCATTTGTAATTAATTACCTTACTAATTAGATCTATAATATACAGGTATTATTGTCTTTATATGGATCTCAACAACTGCTTTAACAATAATATTTTACACCAGTTTCCCCTCATAAACAAATTCAATTTTATATATTTACAGGTTTTCATTTAGTAAACTGATACATTTGATCAAATTATGTATTGCATTCTCATTAGTAAACTGATACATTTTGAGGTCTCTTTTCAAAAGGTTAGATTAGCATCAATATGTAGTCCTTAAGACAACTTTTGAAAGCGACTTCTAAACGAAACCCAACAGATTCACAGTTAATATATGTGTTTTATTAAAAGCATAAGATTTATAGTGCATACATTAAACAATTATTATTCAGATATGTTCTTGTTAATTAATGTAGTTATTAATGAATTAATGACCTTATTCCAAATAATATATCATTTTGTTTGTGTTTATTGTGTAAAAATCTAGGATTGTAAGAATGGTCTTCTCCTAGTGTTGATATTGTTGATCACATCTACTGTGGTTAATAACATTTTCATGGAATAAATAAAACTATTTTTATGAATAAAAAGATATATATTAATATGTTACAGTATATGGTGTTATTTGTCTTGAGGGCTGAGAAGACTTCACATTTTCCAAGTCTTGTTCTTAGCTTATTCTAGGTTCTTTGGGGTTGGATGGCTGAATGGTTAGCGTACGCGCGCTGTATCATAAAGTCTGTCATTGAGTCGACTGGCGTGGTTTCGAATCCCTGGTTGTACGTGGCAAGGAGTAGGGTCGCCTGTCCAACCTCGTGGGTTTTCTCCGGGTCCTCCGGTTTCCTCCCACTGCTAAAGACCCCTAGGCGCAAGCGAATTATGTAAATAAAATTAAACCATATGTTAGTCCCAAAATGACCTAGTTTGTGTCGAGTGGCTGTTGAACCCCATTTCTCTCTCTCTCTTATTCTAGGTTCCCACAATTAACAACCGTATCTTAGTCTCAAAATAACAAGATGTTAACCTCCATTCCTTTCCAGAATTTCTAAATCATGAGTATGGAGAAATTGGTTTAACTTCTAGTCAACAATCAATAGATTATTATAGGACTAACATGGTACATTTTTAATGTAATTGACACTACCTTGGCTATATCCCGTTCCGAAATCCGTACATCCTCCCACCCCCAATCTGGTTTGCCTGTCTACAGCCCTGATTAAATTAGCTCTCAAAATTTAATACCAGGAGATATTGTAAACTGAAAAATGTACTGAAATGTCTTAACCATTTTCATGTTATTATTTACTTATTTAAATTCTTTGCTTGTCATATCAATAATTTGACACGCGTCTCTTTAATCTGCAGAATTCTTATACAAGGGAGATAACTCGTATTAGTACTACTTGCTGAATTTCAACTACAGTATTGTGAATACTTTTCAAAGCAGCAGGGCATATATTAACGTGCCTCTGAATAATAAAAAAAAACGAGCTTTGAAAATATGAAAAAATGCTATGTAGCCTTGTGAATCTTGCAAGTTTGCATTATGATCATAGACCACTTTCGATTTCTGTTTCAAATGTTTTGTAGAGTTGACGACTGTTAATGATACTGACACACGGTTATAAATATAAATATGTTAATTCTGTTATATTTTGGTTCTGAAAATGTAAGCGTGATATCGTGTTATCGGAAGTCATATTCTGGGAATTTTCACCGGAAACACCCTAATAAAACATTAAAATAGGCTCTGAATAACAGTGTCCTTAAGTGATCTGAGTTGTTAGAATGATAGCACATGTCTTTGACACGGAATCGCCAAGTTATACACACTGTCATGATAACGGTTATAAATACCAGAACCTTCGGGCGCAGAATTTTATTGTCTATAGATTGCATTATGTTAAAGTGATGTTATGAAAGATTAGATAAAGAGCTGACAGTTCTCGCTATAATAGTCAAAGCATAGATAATGTAAAGAGAATATGCTGAAGACTTAAGTCAAATTACTTCACCCTGAGCCGAGAAAACCTTATCTCAAAAACACTATAGCCTCGATTGTCATTTTTACCGTTGTTACGATAGTAAACAAAGTCTTAATTATCCATTTTTACGGTTAATCATCAACACCCCTTGAACAGCAGATCAGATGGCATCGAGAGTTGATTATGGTCTTGTCATGTTAATAAATGTCTAATTATTGGTTTATACATGTATAACATTTCAGGCCTGCAAAAGGCAGATTTAGCCCTTACATAATACCTGTTTAAATAATATATTGTATTACTGCGAGGGGACTCACCTTTAAACTAACAACTAACACATAAGTTACTTGCAATTGGCAAAAAATTGTATATCCTCTGATTCTCTCATCTGATTGCTTAGCTTGTAAACAAGTCCGTTTTATTATATAAGGCTTAACTATTAATGTTACAAGAAAGATCTATTTTTGACTAACCCCCGGGATATTTCAGCCTGGTTTCTCGATGTCTAGCGGTTCGTATGGGACAAAAATCGAGGTCCACCCTTGTATTCGTTTGACAGAATTCAATAAAGAGTAATGGGAAAGGCCGATGTAGGGACACAATGCTTTATGTAAGATTTATATAAACGAGCTAAAATAATTCAAAAGTAGATAATGAAAAATGAATATAATGAAAATTGCTGTCAAATTACTTTATTCTGTGTGAAGTTATGGGTATTTGAAGTTTGGACGAGATGTAGAGTACATTGTTTATTATCTCAGTAACAGTACTTGGCAAATCTAGATTATCCATTTTATCTTTACATTTTTAAATCTCGCGTGAGTTCTAATCCATTTAAATCTCGGTCATCCGATGGTCTAGAGATTTGATTATAGGTTTGTCATGTGAATAATTTTTTAAATAATAGTTTATATAACATTTGAAGCCAAAATATAGTCCTGCAATAGTCACATTTAGCGCTTACGTAATACATCTTTAATCGACTATTTCTGGTTAAAATCGGATTTGACCCATTCATATGTAGTTGACTTCCTGTTTTATGTGTATGTAGGTTGGGCGTTTGTGACAGTCAAAGTCAACTATATAGTTAGTATTTGGATACAGTTTGCAACTCCTCTTTCATATTATTATAAAATTCACACTCATTAAATTTCGAATCATGAACGAGGATATGCATTATCGATTCTTCATTATTATATTCAATCCGTTTATATACATTGCGTTTATATACTGGGAGAGAGAGAGAGAGAGAGAGAGAGAGAGAGAGAGACTATAAGATTGTCAGAAAAGAATCCAGTATGGCGATTTTTGTTCTTTTGAATATTCCTTTAAAAATAAAGTTTTCAGAGTTACTGAATTCAATGTTGGGTTCAAAAATTAATTTCCGATAAGATTGTCTGTTATTCATTTCACAAGTTCTTGTGTTTGCCATAACAATACTGCTTTTCATCAGCAATTGACACTAGACAAAACAATAGGCAGAAATGAACCTGTGGTTAATGTCGGTCCTAATGATACCCCAGGTGCGGAGTTATCCTGGCTCCGTAAGGGCGGGAGGCCTGTGGGGTTCTCTCGGAACAGGCACATAATTTCTTTAGAAAAACTGACTGTAAATATATCTTGATGTTACTAGCTTCTGCACATATTTAACTTGCGACAACCTTAGCAATTCATCAAAAAAACGACGTAAATTCATGAACATCAACTAGTTTCGGGGCCTCTGAAACTACCATACTTCTGTTCAGCCCATCCCTAAAAAGGGAGGGGAAAGATAGGATGTTAAAACGTGTTGCAAATTTCTGCATTACTGGATTACTTAATTAATCATCAGTAGAAATACGCTATATAAAATGATAAATCGTGTATTATTTTACAGGTACAAAATAGAAAAAACAGATATGTTTCCGTTTTATCCAATAAACAATTTATTGTCATTTCATGCTGAAAGACATGGTGTTAAAACGTGTTGCAAACTTTTGTATTACATGGTAGGCCTTAAATGATCATATAAATTAACACTTGGTATTTTGATCGAGTATTTTACAGCAACAAGAACGTTTCTGTTTAATCGAAAATTCCAATAAGCAATTTATTTTTAGTTCGAGTGGAAAGTGCTACAGGTGGTAGATAATATTTAAATGTTGTTTAAATGCGTATTTTCATAAACTTATTATGCAGATAGATGTTTATATGGAAGGTCCACTTGGATATAAAATACGATTTTGTGTGAAATAGGCGTCCTGAATACAATGCAACACAGGAGCCTTGTGTTGAAGAAGAATTCGAACCCCTGTTCAGTCCTCCTTTAATGTCAGTTTCAGTTCTCAACTTCTTCCGTTGATCAGTTTCCAGCTACAATCTTGACGTTGCTGTCTGGTGATTTTATACGTTTATCGTCCAAGCAGTGTTTTGAAGTTTGGCTATTTAGTGGTGTATTACTAAGAGTTTTATTGTGGTGGTGGTGGGGTGTGTGGGGAGGGGGGCATATTGTCTCTTGAAACCATTATCTATATTAAATGTAATTTACTTGATATTTTAGACGCCGTGAACCGGAAACGTCAGACGAAACCTATAATGATGATGAATTTTGGTATACATACATGTAATTATAAAGTCCACCGACCTTTCAATAACATAGTACAAAATTCTAAGCCGCCTTCCAAGAGGTTTAAAACGGAATAACAGCCAGCTGATTATCAATTTGTAATGTTTTTTTGTTTGTTTGGTTTTTTTTTACTTATTTTTTTTTAATAGAAAACGGTTTATATATTTACAAAACTACATAAAGAAATATTCCAATCCGATTAAAACTCGGCTCTAAATTTCATTTATATTTAACTTTTATTGTCTACTATTCAATACGTGTCTCCTTTTATGTAATGTAGCCACGGTGGCCCATTGTGTATGACGTTGGTTCGCTAACCTGGAGGTCCCGTGTTCGATTCCTGCGTTGGCCGAGACAGTTCATCGGATGGCGTATAGTAGAGGCCTGGCAAGCGTACAGTCGTATGTCTCGAAAAAGGGAGGTCCCGTGTACAAATTGACGGGCACGTAAAAGATCCTTTGGAAGTTGGAATTCGATATAAGAGTAGGCCGTAGCGCTGCTGACCGGGCAAAATTTCCCTCATAGCGTATGCCCATCTTCATTAGCCCGGTCGGTTGACGTTACACGCCATTTCATTTTCTATAGGAATACCAGTTTCCTGAAATATTTCACTCCTAAATTCTCTAAGATTTCATATTTCAGGAATTTCAATATTTTTGTCATTTTCTGTGTACTTCTTTTTGACTTAAAAATGAATTGCCGCCAATATGGGGCGGAGGTGGCAGATTTCAAAAGTGGGGTTGCAAACCACAGTCTGTGGACATTTTTTATTGATTATCCGAGAACAAACCCATCGGCAAAATCGATTACAGTAGCAAGTCATGTTAAATTGACACAGGTTGTGACCTTTTATTTCCCGTTTGTAAAGATCACAGTCAGCGCTGTGTTCACACAACAGGGCGATATAACAGGGATTTCAGATATTACAGCTGTTTTGTAAGCTTTTTAAATATTTCAGTTATTATTAACAATTAGTAAAATGAATTCAATAGTGATAATTCTGCCATACATATTTTTCTGAAGTAAGTAGTAATTTATTTGCTATTTGAAAATAAAATATAATGGGGTTTTAACGTCCTAGTTTTCTCCATCAACCGGGATTCCGCGTGCTCAGAGACTATGGCCTATTCTTATTTCGAATTCTGTCACACCAGCGTTTACACGGATCTCGGTAATTCCTTCAGTGTTGACCGAATGTTAATTGAACTTTACACCGAACTTAAAAACTTTACTGATGATGATACTTTTGAAGATAATGTCGTGTTACACAGAAGAAATTTTTAAAGTTTATTCCCGTACATTCCGGCAAACAGTGTACCCGGAAAGGAATTACTCACAAGTTTTATCTATTGGGTTTTAGTGTTTTAGCATTCATCGGTTTAAAATAATATTTTTGTAGTAACTGTTGTACAATCATAAACAATATAATAATGGTGTTATCTAATCTAATCTGTTAATATATAGCTGTCAAATACGAACTTTTAACACACTAACACCGATGACGATAACGGTAAAACCTTTGAGCTATTGAAACGTGTACTGTAGCCTATGTAGTATATAAACTGGAATATACTAGTTAGTAAATTAGGTAAGCTATTTTATTACATATTTGAACATAGAACAGTTAGAAATATGGCAAGCAGAGGTATGGGAATCATTAACGGGAAATTTGAATTTTTAGAATTCATATTATACAAGTAGCTTACAACTAAGGGGAAGTGTGCTGTTATGAATTCATGGATGTCCTTCGCCCGCATAACTCAATTGCGACTGCATAACAAAACTATACAGTTATATGGGACAACAATCACTGGTTTATTATACACAAGCACGACGTTTCGATAAGTATTCTCTTATCGTTATCAAGCACTGCATATGTCTCTGCCATTCAATTAGATCAGTTATTCTTATTAGTCGATCATCTTTGAAAATAAAAATCGACCGACATAGCGTTTTCTCCGTTAACCAGCGTGTTCTCCGTTAACCAGCGTGGTTTTCCAATATATCACGCCACTATACACGACGCATCGAATTAGACATCGCATGAGCAGTCTTACACGTTGTGCAGTTTTACGTCAACAAGGGATTCCCTAAAAATATGAAATATTCTTAGCTTGCATTGAAAGAATTTGTCCATATTTATTTCCAAATTCTTATTTTTTGTAGATAAAGCCAAAATGGATTACGAATCTCTAGGATTACTCCATGACATGTTTAGGAGACAAGCTGAACAGACGCCGGATAGAATCGCCGTTAATTCTGTGGACGGGAGACAAGTGACATTTAAAGAACTAAATGAATGGACGGATATATTAGCGACATCCTTACAGAATAAAGGTGTTTTACCGGATACCTCAGTTGGAATATACTTGGAGAAGAATATAGAGTTTGTCACGGCATATATAGCAGCATTGAAAGCAGGTGCGTTCTTTTTATCATTACCAATCTTTTATATTAATATGACAGGTCGGTCTCCGGCTGTAATGGTAAAGCGCAATATACATGTACATGTTACAGTGAAATATACATGTACATGTTACAGTGAAACATACATGTACATGTTACAGTGAAATATACATGTACATGTTACAGTGAAATATACATGTACATGTTACAGTGAAATGAAATGAAATGGGGGTTTATGAAGACGGGCTTACGCCGTGTGCGATGAGGGAAATATTGATTTTACACTGCCATGGGATCTTTTACGTGCACGACAATGTGCACACAGTACCTCAGTTTTTCATCCCATCTAAATGACTACACATTGTCCCTTGCCAAGCCCTCTGTCCTGCACCACTGACAAGGGGGAACCACAGCGGGGGAACCACGGCGGAAAGTCCTGATGAACTTTCTCGGATAGGGATCTTACTCACTGCACAAACCATGACTCCTTACACTTTTTACACAATATTGGCTTTGTTTCTGTTGCATGCATTGCATCGTCAAGGATTCAAAAGTCCCCTGTTTGTTATTAATTTGAAAAATGAATTCACAAAATACATATAAACAGGTTATGTGTTAATTATATATAAGCCTTAATTCCTATGTCAAGTGCTGAGTAGACTGTTTTATCATTTATGGCAAATTAAAAAATTACAATCATTGTCAGTTACAAAAACAGTTTAGTAATGAGTTAACCATCACATGGTTTGTCCTTCAGATCGTACTATAAATAAAGTTTTTGTTGTGTATATTTTCATAACATGTTTTAATGTAAAACAAACTTGTCCCTGAACTTTCGAATAGGTTCGCCCTCATCTGTCTGTCTGTATGTCTGTAGCCTACACACTTTTTAAATGCCATAACTTAAACATACATTATGCAAGAGCTAAATCTGTCTATTGCAGGTCTTTCTTTAGGCCTGAAATGTTATCTAAATTATTAATTAGACATTAATTAACCTATCCAGACCATAATCAACTCTAAATGGCATCGCTAGCCTGCGATCTTTAGTGGATTGTGAGCCAATTTACTGCATAACTTTCTTCACGATTTAACGATTAAATGGATAATCGAGACTATGCTGTTTATCGTACTGACTTTAGTAATGATGATCAAGGCTAGGCGGATATTCAATCGCTTTGTTCTCGGTTCATAGTGGAGCAATTTGAATGAAATTTTCAGCAAATTGCCTTTACATTATCTAGTTTTTAACTATTATAGTGAGAACTGCCAATTGTGAGCATTTGCTGCTCAGATTAAGCATAGATAAGCTATTTGATTTGAGATAAATTGGGACACGATGACTTTGAGTGAGATTGATGAAACCTTGATCACAGTTTCATTAGGTACTTATTTTTTATTTTGTCAATTTAATTTTTTCGTAATATGATAATAAACATATTTAACCTGCCGAAAATCAAAAAATGTCAAAACTCATAATTTGGAATATTTTTAGACATTTTCGACCCGCGTCTTACCTTAACACAATAACTTCTAACTGAGTGTTCCTATTACCTGCAAAATATGTGACAACCTTGTGGACTACTTGGATGACTTAGCCATCGTGGACGTATGTTTGGTTTCAAGTGAGCGTAGAGGTTGTCCTCAGGCCCGGATCCAGGATTTTGTCGAGGGGGGGACCACACATTGGGAATCCCATTGCTGGCTGCTTGTACTGGTCTGAACTCTAGGCCTATTTATATGATACCGACCATAAACAGAAACTAAAATCTGGGAATCCCATTGTTGGCTGCAGGTGCTGGTCTGAACAGTGATGACCAGTCTCACTGGGACTGAGGGGGGGGCCACGGCCCCCTGCCCCCCCCCCCCCCTTGAACCATGCCTGGTCCTTAAATAAAATACTTCATATACCTTCTCAATAGTAATGGTATATTATTACAGTATTGGTAAGATACTGCAAAGTAAAACCATGAGGTTTTTATTTTTCTTGGAACATTCCAGACAAACTAGCCCTGCACTTTATGCACCGAAACACAAAATTACTGTAGAAAATCGATTTGGCTTTACATTTCACTTAGTGTATTAACAGTGCAGTGTTGTGGGACTGGTTTAATAAAATGGGTCAAGAATTGGACGATTCATTTATTAATTTTGGATTTGTATCTAGGAGGAGCATATTTACTGATAGATTCAAGTTATCCAGACCACATCGTTAAAGCTATATTAGAAGATGCCAAACCCATTGTTGTTGTTACAATGCCAGAAATGGTTTCCTCTTTAAAAGGTAAGCATATTTTATTGTTCTTTCTATTTCGTTCAACATTCAAGTTCGCTTTGATAGTAAATTCTTTAAGCTTTTATCTCTGATTGACTTTCAATCAATTTATACACCAAAGTCCTAAGACATTCCTAATGTAGTGATTTATAGGACCCCATATTGCCTTGATAAAAGGTCTGTACTATCTATCTGTACTATCCAGAGTTATGCCCCTTTACTATATGTTAGTCCTAAAATGACCTAGTTTGTTTTGAGTGGACATTAAATCCCACATCGCTATCTCCTTCTTTCTCTTTCTGCTCATCAGCCAAATATAAAAAACAATGACTGCTATACTATTATTTTACTACTACAGAAAACTGAAATAATTTTCATACATTAGTTTTATGTGTATTTTAATGTATTGTTAGAAAATGGTGCCAAGGAAATCATAGCATTAGGCGCCTACTGGCAAGATACTCTTTCTGCAGAAAATAAGTTAAAACCTCCACCAAAAAAACCAGAGGTCACATTAGATTCGTTAGCTTACATCATATATTCATCAGGTACCACTGGTAAACCAAAAGGTAATTAAGTATATTCCTTTGTTCTTTTGTTTGTCTGCTTCCACTAAGTGTATTCATTTGATGGATCTTCTTTTATAGCATATTAATGACTCAGATAGTACCAATGACTTGATAACAGAATGTATCAATAGCTTGATAACAGAATGTACCAATGACTTGATAACAGAATGTACCAATGACTTGATAACAGAATGTATCAATAGCTTGATAACAGAATGGATAACAGAATGTATCAATGACTTGATAACAGAATGTATCAATGACTTGATTACAGAATGTATCGGTGTGCACATGGAATGTAAATCAAGTTGCTCCATCAAAATAACATTATTTAACCAAAATTTCCACAAAAGACAAACTAATATCTTGAGTGATGTTTTGAAATTCCAAGTGATATGTGATCAGGGTGAAATTAATTAATGTATTATTTTTTTTTTCTGGGATTTGAAACTACAGTTATGTGGTTCTTAAACCCCATTTCATTTCATTTTATTTTATTTTTGTTAGTAGTAATTCTATTAGACCACATTCTAAAATATTGAAATGTTAATTGGTACCTGCTCCATTGCCAATTAGAATAGTTGTTTTTAATGTGGTACTAGTATTACAACAACTAATAGTTCCATCGATTTTTCATCAATATATATTTTCAGGTATAATGTGTCCACATAGAGGAGCCGTATTTTCGTATCATTGGAGACACGAGAATTATCCTTATGCAGATGATGATAGAGAAGCTTGTAATATATTCTTTACATGGGAGATGCTTAGACCACTGTTAAAAGGTCTGTGATATCATTCAAACTACATGTATTTTAAACTTGATAAATGATTTCCTGTCCAGGAGACAAAGTCCCTCATTATTTTCAGTATTATGCCATATATAAAAAAAATATTCTGCTACTCAGATACTCCTGTGTCACTTTCCAAGTGGTGTAATGATCAGTTTTTATTTTTTATTTTTTTTTTAAAATCCAAACAGAATAAAAACAGCCTCATTAATTACAACAAGGAAATATCTTTTTGAAAAATTCGAAAAGGAATCCAGAAAAGTGCAGTAGACTCACTGTCACAATCTGTTCGACAGAGGTATTGTGAAAGCCTTCTTATACCTCTGTATTAGATGCCTGACCTTTATAAGTTCAAGTAGGCCTTCTACAGTAGAATGGTGCCTTTTACTCATTATACGTCCACATTCATAATGTGAACGTATTATGCCGTCGCCCCTGTCTGTGTGTGTGTGTGTGTGTATGTATGTATGTGTGTGTGTGTGTGTGTGTGTGTGTGTGTGTCTGTGGTTCGCCTACAGGGCGCAATTCTTCATGGATTTTCTTCAAACTTGGTATACTTATTCCTTATACCCCAAGGAAGATCCCTATTGTTTTTGGTGCATGCCCGACCCCCCGGGGCAGAGCCACGCCCATTTCTAGTATTTGTTTGTTTGTCGTCTACAGGCCACATTTCTTAACTAATAATCTTGAAACTTTGCATACACATTCTTTGTACCCTAAGGAACATCCCTATCGTTTGGGGTGCATGCCCAACCCCCAGGGGCAGAGCCACGCCCATTTTCTTTTCGTGTGTCTTTGTGTCGCCTACAGGGCGCAATTCTTACTGGATTTTCTTCAAACTTGGTATACTTATTCCTTATACCCCAAGGAAGATCCCTATTGTTTTTGGTGCATGCCCGACCCCCAGGGGCAGAGCCACGCCCATTTCTAGTATTTGTTTGTTTGTCGTCTACAGGCCACATTTCTTAACTTATAATCTTGCATACACATTCTTTGTACCCTAAGGAACATCCCTATCGTTTGGGGTACATGCCCAACCCCCAGGGGCAGAGCCACGCCCATTTTCTTTTTGTGTGTCTGTGTGTCGCCTACAGGCCACAATTCTTAAGTTATCATCTTGAATCTTTACATACTTATTCCTTATACCCTAAGGATGATCCCTATTGTTTTTGGTGCATGCCCGATCCCCAGGGGCAGAGCCACGCCCATTTCTTGTATTTGTTTGTTTGTCGTCTACAGGCCGCATTTCTTAACGCATCATATTGAAACTTTGCATACTTATTCTTTGTACCCTAAGGAACACCCCTATCGTTTGGGGTGCATGCCCAACCCCCAGGGGCAGAGCCAAGCCCATTTTCTTTTTGTGTGTCTGTCGCCTACAGGCCACAATTCTTAATCGATCGTCTTGAAAAAATTTCATATGAATTCCTTATACCCTAAGGATGATCCTATTGTTTTTGGTGCATGCCCGACCCCCAGTGGCAGAGCCACGCCCATTTCTTGTATTCATTGTTTGTTATCTACAGACCACATTTCATAACGTATCACCTTGAAACTTTGCATGCATACTCCTTCTATCCTAAGGAACATCCCTATTGTTTGTGGTGAATGCCCAGGGACAGAGCCACACCCATTTTCTTTTTGTGTGTCTGTATGTCACTTACAGCCTGCAATGCTTAATCGATCATCTTGAAAACTTTTTTATACTTATACGTTATACCCTAAGGCTGACCTCTATTTTTTTGGTGATTGCCCAACCCCCAGGGGCAGAGCCACACCCATTTTTTCTTTGTGTCTCTGTGAGTTGCCTACAGGCCACGATTCTTAATGGATTTCTTTGAACTTGGGATATGTTTTCCTTATAGCCTAAGGACGACAACTGCATGTCACGACCCCCAGGGGCAGAGCCATGCCCAATTTTTATGTTTATCGTTTACAGGCCCAAATTCTGGATGGATCAACTTGGTATTTGGCATATGTATTCCTTATAGCCTAAGGGCATCAACTATTGATTTTGGTGAATGCCCCAATGCCCAGGGGCAGAGCAACGCCCAATTTTCCCTTTAACGCCCAAAGGCCACAATTCTGAATGGATTATCTTGGAACTTGGAGTACTTATTCCTTATACCCTAAGGACGGCAACTATTTATATTGTTTCCATATCCAACCCCCATGGGCAGAGCCATGCCCAATTTTTGTATTTATCGTCTACAGGCTGCAATTCTGAATGGATCATCTTGGAACTTTGCATATTTATTCCTTATACCATAAAGACAGCAACTATTTATTTTGATACTTGCCCCGACCTCTTGGGGCAGTGTCACACCCACTTTATTGTTAGTATTTTGTCTGTAAATTTGGGGTGGCTGGGTGGTTAAGACGCTGGCTCGCTAGCCTGGAGGTCGGGTGTTCGATCCCTGCATTGGCCGAGAAAGTTCATCTGGATTTTCCGACGTGGTTTCCCCTTGTCAGTGGTGCAGAACGGAGGGCCTGACAAGGACAGCTGTCCAGTCCTTCGGATGAGACGAAAAACCGAGGTCCCGTGTATACATTAGAATGCACGTAAAAGATCCCTTGGCAGTTGGAATTCGATATAAGAGTAGGCGATAGTGCCGCTGCCCGGGCAAAATTTCCCTCATAGCACACTGTATGGCGTATGCCCGTCTTCATTAGCCCAGTATAGGAGCAGAACAGTAGGACGTTAAACCCCATTTCATTTCATTTCTGTAAATTTGGCAAAACAAACCAGACGCCTAGCCTTCTTTGCCTCTGATCATATTACAGCCATTTCATATTTCATTCTCTTCATTTTAAAAAGTACCATATCAATCAAAGCTGGAATGTGGACGTATATTGCAGCGTTAGCGATGCTCTTGTTTTATATACCCATTTACACTAAATAGGAAATATTTCTTCATCTAGATATACATCAAACACCTTTATTTATTTTTATAATACTTCAAAAAAATGTTTTAGAATTTAATTTAAAAAAAGTTAATATTGCGAGCTCTATAAGCCATCACCAATGGCATCTGTCTCAGTGATTGTAGCGGCCTACAAATATTTACTGCTGATCAGTGTGTCAGTGACAGACCTTATGATCTAAAGCTCATCCAACCTCTTGAAATCTATGACGGTTAAAGGTTAAAATAATTATGTAATAATAATTGATAGATTTAAATGGTAGATAATATAGTGATCATACACGTTGATTATAATTACTTAATATATGTTGTTACATTATAAACTCAAACAGTTGAAACACTTGAAAGATTAGCTAGAAATCAATTTGGACATTGATCAGTAACTACTTAAAGCAAAATTTGCTAATTTAAATGATGACATAGATAACAATCTCTACTCTAAACTTAGCTGGAATGAATGAATGAATGAAATTGGGTTTATTAATGTCCTACTTTTCTGCATCAACTGGCAAATGAAGATGTGAAACTTAGCTGGATTAAGCCTGGTACTGAATACACTGCAATGTCAAACATTTGACAGAAATAGTTCCCCACAGATTTATGGGGGATGGGGTGGGGGGAGGTGAAAGTTTGGTAGGGGGGGGGGGGGGCGGAAGATATTAGAGTTGGACATTGAATCTGAAAATGTTTGATGGTCAGTGAATAATAAACAGAACACATCATTAGATATCTGTTACAACTGGGCTAATGAAAATGACCATATGATGCCATGTAGTGTGCTGTGACAGAAATTTTGACCGTACTAAAGCTTTATATGGCCTATTCTTATATTGATTTTCAACGGCCTCCCTCCTGAACAACAACCCCACACCACTGAAACGGGAAAACCAGACTGGAAAATAACAAATAAATTTTTTGGGTAACCCCCTGGAAAAGAACCTGTGAACTCAAGGTTAGTGAGACAGCACCTTACTCAATGAGCCCATATTCATTCCATTCTACTCCACTAACCTCAGGGTTCATTCATTGAGTATTCACATATTTAAATTTTCTGCCCTTGATCATAGCTTGGTTCTACGAACCAATCAAAAAACAGTTTATAAATCTGCCTTGGCTTCATTGTTTATGTTCACAACATTATGGTGGTTTGTTTGCTCGATTATTAAAAAGATTGCAACAAGATGATAGTTACTTCCCTTTGCCAACTACCTTTGAAATTAATGACTTTTTTGATTGGTCAATAAAAATAGCACGGTCATCAAGGACAGATAATTTAAATACATGTCTCCCTCATTGATGAATCCAGTGGTTAGTGGAGTGAAACGGAATGAGACCACTAGGGATATAGAGGAAGCCCATATGCTAGCTCTTCTAAATGACGTTATTTTTAATGGATCCTGTGGCATTCAATTTAAATTAGATATTTGTTTTGCAGGAGCAACTCTGTATCCTGTACCGAATACAATTATATACGACATGCCTTTAATAACCAACCTGATTAAGACTAACCACATAACGAGAATGCTGGTGACACCATCTTTACTAGAAACCATTTTAAACACATCAAATATCAACTTACAACAAGCATTTAAATCATTAAGGTAAATCCATTTTAATCATTGAAGATGCGTTATGCAAGAACTAAATTTGCCTATTTCAAATCTTTTTTATGGCATCTAATGTTATATAAACTCTCTAAACCATTAGATTAGCCTTTGTTTATTATTATAGCAATATAATTGTACTTGATAATCAAAACTATTAAAGATACTCACAATTGAACTTAGTCAAGACTGAATATCTCCACCAAGTTTAAACATTAAAGATACATTATTGGAGATTCGACAACGAGTTGGCAGTTCTCACTATGATATTTAAAAACTAGATAACATAAAGGCAATTTGCAGAAAATTTCATTCAAATTAATCCACTATGAACCGAGAACTAAGCGAATGAAATTTCTGCCTAGCTTCGTTCATCATTACTAAATTCAGTACGATAAACAGCATAGTCTTGATTATCCATTTAATCGTTAAATCGAGAAGGAAAGTTATGCAGTAAATCGGCTCACAATCCACTTAAGATCGCAGGCTAGCGATGCCATCTAGAGTTGATTATGGTCTGGTTATGTTAATTAATGTCTAATTAATAATTTAGATAACATTTCAGGACTAAAGAAAGACCTGTAATTGGCAGATTTTGCTCTTGCATAATGTATGTTTAAGGCTAAATTTGGTAAAATCTTCAAACATTCATAATTTTGCTTAGTAAAATTTCTCACTGATTTTGGATACTGATTCATTTCATCCCCTTTCCTGTCTGCTGTATGTGTAAGTATTACAATAGTAAGCTAGACATCCACAAAGTTGTGACCCTTGTAGAACTTGACCAGTGAGAGAAATGAAATGAAATGGAGTTTTTAAAACGTCCTACTATTCTGCTCCGACTAGGCTAATGAAAACGGTATGCTATGAGGGGAAATTTTGCCTGGACAGTGCGGCTACAGCCTATACTTATATTCCAACTGCCAAGGCATCTTTTACGTGCACACCAATGTGTACACGGGACCTCATTTTTCATCCCATCCTAACGACTAAACAGCTGTTGTTGTCGGGCCCTCCAGCCTGCACCACTGATAAGGGGAACCATGCCGGAAAGTCATGATGAAATTTCTCATCCAACACTGGGGGTGAAATCGTGACTTCCAGGGTAGCGAGCTTCTTACTTACTTAGCCACGGTTGCTCCCAACCAGTGATAGTGTGGTGCCAGTATGGTAGGACACTAATCAGGACCACCTGTAGTGCTGACAAGAAAAGTGTACCTAGCCATTTGAATTAGGAGCTAAAGTAAGGACCATTCTTGTGAAAGAATCATTGTCAGTTTTGGACTACTGGCAACTTATTCCCCTTCCATTGCACATGTTACCATACAAAATAAAAATGACGACGTATTAGTCTCAAAATAACCAAATTACCAAATTGTCACCCCTGAAAACGATGTTTCGACATCACAAACTATTCTTATTTCAGACGTTTTCCTTTCATTTGCTGCTGTATGAACAAAAACACATATTTTTGGAGGAATATTACTGGCGTGAATTTGAAGCAGGTGTGGGTTGGCACGCTTTAGATCTATCGTATTACGAAAACATGTAATTTTGTAGGAACACTAATGACATAAATTATATACCGTTCAGGAATTAAATATGAAAAGTAGCGAGGTGCAACCATTTTTATTACCTACAGATTTGAATATTTTGTTCACACATGATTTTTAATTGTGATTTGAATCCGTCTGCTTAAAAACGATAAAACTTGTGCCCCTTTATTTTCGGTAAAAATGTTCAACACTGCTTTAAACCTCATTCCAGTTTTTTTTCCATTCGACTTGACTAGTTACTATACCTCCTCATAATTTAAATAGAAGTCATCAATTAATTGGTGGCAGTGTAGACCTATCCTTACACTTTCTAGAACACATAAACCATGTATATTGATTTAAACCTTGTCACCATTGTTTTTTTCTCTCTTTATTTTACAGACAGATTTGGTTTTGTGGTGAAGTGGTAACAACAGTATTATTTAAGAATTGTTTAAAGAGGCTACCTAATGTTAGATTTATTAACTTGTATAGTGTATCTGAATGTCATGACGTTGCAGCCTGTGATTTGACTCAACTATATACAAAAGATAAGGTATAAATTATAGCTAACTCTTTAATGAGATCTTGGTATCTTGCAAGTGTGTACGTTAACCCTTTGGACATGGACAGATTTCTAGCTGTGACCTTCACTTGTTTACATAAAATTGTTGGGGCCCCAAGGTGGAATATTGGATATAAACCAACATGGGATGGCCTATTGTTCATAGAGTGCCGCTCTACGAGCACTAGCTGGCCAGTCACCTTTTGGTGTGGGGGTGTATGGGGCTTAGAGATAGGGGTGCCGTCTCAACCTCATGGGAAAGACCCCTGCACCTTGTGTTGAATATACTAAAATCAGACAAATTGTCTGTGATATCAGTTTGTAGTGCCCACAAGACAATCGACCTTTAATTAATTATGTCCAAACTTCCTCAGATGTCCTAGGGACCATACTGTCAATAGGTTGAAGTATGTTAGTTCAAGATTAATTTTGTCATCTTTTGCACCTCCAAAATATATCTTATACCTGGAAAATTGTACTTATCATTATTTTAATAGGAGACTCTGTTATCAAGAAAGTTTTGTCCGGTAGGTAGAGTTTTACCTGGTGTAGAGGTTGTTATATTGAATGATGATATGGTACCACAATCAATAGGTCTTCCAGGAGAGGTAGGTTTAATACCACAATCAATAGGTCTTCCAGGTAGGTTTGATACCATAGTCAAGTATTTCCAAGAGATGAATGTTTGAAATCACAATCAGTAGGACTTCCAGAGGAGATAGACTTAATACCATAATCAAGACTTCCGGTAGAGGTAGGTTTAATAGAAATAAAATGAAATGAAATGGGGTTTAACGTCCTACTAGGTTTAATAGGACAATCTTCCAAGAGATTGAGATTTAATACCAGAATTAAAAGTTCCAACAAAAGAGGCAGGTTTAATAGAACAATTCCAGAACAGGTATGTTTAATTAAATACCAGGGCCCTTATTCACGAAAACTTAAACTAAGATACAATCAAAATTTTAAGAAATACTGCAATTCGATTGGCTGACCAGTAAAATCAATTTGCATATATCCAATTTGCATATTGGTCAGCCAATCGAATTGCAGTATTTCTTAAAATTTCGATTGTATCTTAGTTTAAGTTTTCGTGAATAAGGGCCCAGAATCAATAGGTCTTCCAGGAGAGGTAGGTTTAATACCACAATTAATAAGTCTTGCAGTGGTAGATTTAATACTACTACAATCAGTAGGACATATTATGGTGATATTTTCCTCAACCAATGGGTCTTCCAGTAGACATAAATATTATAAAGATTTAAAAGTTTCAGATGAAGATGCTCTAGAACATCTTCTCATCCTTTGATTTTCTCTCCTAGATTTATGTTGGTGGTCCAACTCTAGCTATTGGTTATTTAAACAATCCTACTCAACAAACTGCCAAATTTATACAACGACCAGAAACAGTAACTGGTGGAGTGGGAGGTAGATTGTACAGAACCGGTGATTGGGGATATTTATTAGCGGATGGTAGTCTAGAGATATGTGGACGCTGTGATTCAATGGTGAAGATACGTGGTTATTCCATAGAAATACAGGTATGTAAAAAACAGACAGTAATGTTATTATCTAGGAGAACAGATGACACAAGCCTCTGACTTTTGTACATTGACCTAAAACAGCATAACTAATGGACAATAAGCTTTATCTCAGTATCGGGGGTCGGGGCTGGTTGAATGGGTTAACATGTTTTCGTTGGATCATAAGATCTGTCATTGATACCATTGCCATGGTTTAAATTCCCAGCTTGTATGTGAGAAGTAGTAGATTTCCCTGTCCATCCTCATAGGTTTTCTCCAGTTTCCTTCCACTGCTTAATACGGGCAAGAGAATTGTTGAAATAAAATTGAACTATATGTTGGTCCGAAAATGACCTAGTTTGTGTTGAGTGGACATTAAGCCCCATTTCGTCTCTCTCTCTCTCTCTCTCTCTCTCGTTAATCTCAATATAATGTATATCAATCATTTTGGTAAAGGACAGTAAAGGACAGTTGTAAAATGTCAACACATCCAAACGAATAACTAGTAGATAGATCTCGACCAAACCGCCCACCTGCCCATCCAGGTCTCTGAAGTAAGAAAATGTTGACATATTTTCATTTATGATTCAATAAAAGAGAAGTATACTGACTGATGGTGAGGCTTGGAAATCATATTTCAGATGGATTTTGATGCGAGTTAAACATTAGATAACCGACATTCAATTTATCATTTTCAATCTGCGATGTGATTAACCCAGCCACCCAGCTCCACAAGTTATCGTTTGGACGCAAGTGTTCAAATTATATAATTATATATTTCCATCAATCTTTTAGGCAACACAGTATCGTATGCTTCGATATTTTTGAGATTAGCATAATAATTTTTCTCTTTCTGTGGTTAGGAGATTTTCGTCCAAATTTTTGTAAAATGGGGCCTTTCAAAATTGTTTTTTTTTAAGCTTGATCTCTGAAAAGTAGGGTTTTTTTTCGCTAGATAATGTATTTTGCAATATGTATCAAAATACACTTGGCTTGACAATTTTGGTTCAAAACAATACACTGCCATAAATAATAAAATTTGTGATCTTTATTTTAGGCAGTAGAAAATGCTTTTAAGAGTTTATCATGTCTTAGAAATAGTGTGATATTAGTACAAGGTGAAGAAGGACAAGATAAATATCTTATAGCTTATGTTGTTCTAGAGAAACCAACAACCAAGAAAGAAATACGGCAGATGTTAAAAAGAAAACTACCATTTTATATGATACCATCGTATTTTATATTTCTAGATCAGTAAGTAATAAACCCCTTTCATATATTGTAAACTTTCACTGACTCTCTTTCCAACAAAACACCATCTCTAATAGGAAGTGCAGGAGGACCGCACTACATGTAAAACAAAAATCTACAAGATAAACCTGTGGACAAGACAGAAAATAGACATCCGGATTTTCTGGCGTGGCTTCCCCTTGAAGGTGGTGCAGGACGGAGACAATGTATAGAGGTCCTGTGTACACTCTTGACGGTTTGAATTTGAAATAAGAGTAAGCTGCAGTGGTGCTGCCCAGGCACAATCTCCCTCATAGCCCAGTCAGTGTAGAATAGTAGGATGTACGGTAACCCCATTTCATTTCATCTTTTGTAATGAGTGTATTTTGTTGTTTTACAGAATACCAATAGTAGAAGCAACTGGTAAAATCAATACTAAAGCTTTACCATCGTTAGATAAACATAGGGATGCTAACGGGGATCCTGATGGTAAACCTACAACTACTACAGAAATAACTTTAGCTGATATCTGGTCCAAAATTTTAAAAATAGGCGATGTTGATATACAAGAAAGTTTTTTCGACTCGGGAGGGTAAGTATATTCCTGTTTAAGAAGTATTGAACAAGTTATTTGACTATCTCTCTCTCTTTTTAAAATTACAAAGAATCACAGAGGTCTCAGCTATCCTTAAATGAACAGTGACAAAATTGCATGCATGGTAAAAATTGTAGGGAGCAAGTGGGGACATATATTGCTTCAGCTTGTTACAATTGAAACAGTGACACTTGTGTCCTCCATGTTAGTAGTTAATACAGTTTGAAATACAGATGTGATGTTATCCTTTGATTTTGGCGTACCAATCTTTCAAATTATGTATGTGCAACGTGCCAATTGTTCATTATTTATACTATATGAAATGTACATGCAGGATAATATCTGTATTTTAAGTATGAATATATCATTTAATGTCTTGCTCCGGACCATTAAACTAACCTTGTAGTATATTTTCTGTGTATTTTCAGCCATTCCCTATTAGCAGCCCAGTTATTGAATAAAGTACGAGAGGTGTTTGAAGTAGATGTATCAGTTAGTGAACTATTCGCGTTCCCTACAGTATATAGTTTTAGTAGGTTAATAGAAAATAAACAGGGTAAAGTTAGACTAGATGAAACAGATACACTCGATATCACGTCTGTAGATTTAATATCAGAAGTTGAAAAACATGATCAACAATCACTCATGTAAGTAAAATATAAAATAAATTGTTGTAATTTATTTATTGTGGATGTATATTTCTTCACCTCTTGGTTCATCCATCTGTCATCTTCTACAGTGTCTTGTGACCACTCAACAGGTCAGAGTTCTTTTCAGATTTTTCTTCAGATTCACAAGAATTGTTCCATAGATCATAGTAATACTCCTATCCAAATTCACAAGTTTTAGAGTGCATATTTATGATATCTTGTGATCACAATATTTTTATAAAAAATGTTCATAACTAGGTGGGGTTGTTTATTACGGTATCATGAATTCTTTAAAGATGGGTGGGATTCTTCAGTTGGGTTTAAGGATGAACTTTATAAAAATATTATATTGTCAATTTCAAACATGTTTTGTAGTGTAGTTTTGATCCCAGGCTGTATGTGACCAGGAGAAGGTTTGCTTGAATAACCTCCAGTTTTCTCCCACTGCTTTTTTTATGTACAGGCGAATTATTGTGATAAAAATGTACCAGATGTTATTCCAGAAATTACCTAGTTTTTGTTGAGTGAATGTTAAACCATATTTCTCTCTCTCTTTAGTATTGATATGCAGTTAAGAGCTTTCTGGCGAACCTTCCAGTATCGTCATCACTTCCAGACAGGTCGAGTACTGTTAACAGGAGCAACAGGTTTTCTTGGCGCTTTCTTGCTACAAGAATTATTGTTAAATACCAAGGTAAATTATCAGGAAATTTATTTTACCTCCAACGAAACACTGCTACCTTACTCGTATGTCTTGGATTTTTATTTTTCTATGAAAGGTCAATACCAGCCTCGTAGGACTCGATGACAATACTTGCATGAAATTACGATTGGTAACAACTTTTTATACGTCTGAGATACTCCATCAAAGGAAAAGTAGTTTGTTTTTTTCAGGCTTAAGATTGAGAGAAAATCAAAGTGTCTGACATTTTGTTACAGTATATTTTCAAAATCTTTGTTTCTTGTTTTTTAAGTTAATTGTATATTGTGTGGTACGAGAACATTCTACATTAAGTATAGAAGAGAGATTAGAACAGACATTACTACAATATGGTATTATACAAAAAGATGATCAACTACCTACAGAACAACAACAAATGTGTAAAACAAGACTTCAAACAAAAGTTAGATTGATCAAAGGTATACATTCCACTTCTAGTTATATGTATTTAATTTGACACCCAGAATGGCTTACTTAGAATGACCAACAGTTTTAATATTCTAATACTCCTATATCTCATTGATCCATATATCATTGATCCTATATCTCATTGGATTATATATTTCATTGATCCTATATCTCATTGATTATATATCTCATTGATTATATATCTCATTGATTATATATCTCATTGATCCTATATCTCATTGATTATATATATCATTGATCCTATATCTCATTGATTATATATCTCATTGATTATATATCTCATTGATCCTATATCTCATTGATTGATTATCTCATTGATTATATATCTCATTTATCCTATATCATAAAGTTTGTGATGATACAATAATATATAATTTATAATATTACAGGTGAAATAGCCTTGACAAAGATGGGGATGACAGAGGATGATTATACTTACCTTTGTACTGATGTAGATTTCATAATCCATGCTGCAGCATCTGTTAATCTGGCTTATCCTTATCAGGTAAGTTTTGCTGTAAATATGTGTAGTTTTTAGTCAACGGTTCTGCTGTCCGAATCAAAATTAAGCAATTAATTGAGTATGTGAGTAATATGTTGAAATTATATTTGTTTAATATATATTTACAGGCTTTACATGGAGCTAATGTGCTAGGAACCTGTAATGTTATTGCATTTGCCTGTACTGGAAAAGTCAAACCGTTACACTATATCAGGTGAGTGGCCTTTTAGTCTCCTCGAAAGACATCATATTATAAATACATCAATTAGAAAACATGTTAGTTGTAAAATAATCTTCCCATGCCATTACAGATAAAATTAGTTGAGTGTGGAGCAAATTTAAAGTGGTTCAAATCTTTAGTTGTGCTCTGTTTATTTAATTTAGATCAATACGCTAGATTTTGCTTTCATTCTAGAATGGCTGATACCACTTATTTATTCACCAAATTCATACAGACAGCAAGTTTGTTACACTTCTATACCTCTAAGGTATCCTTATTTAGCTATAGAAATGTGTTTTGGGTGCAGTGCATTTACATCTTCTTGAACATCTGATACCACTTCAATTTAATTTTAGAATTTCTTTCAACTAATATTTTTGCTTTACTACTACGTCTCCTATACAATTGCATTATTTAGTTTAAAGTATGTTTGTCGGGTACAGTACCTTTCTAGAACACCCGATATCACTTCTCATTTTCAAGGTTCACAACACTTTTGTTGCACATTTGTTACACGCTTGCTCTGTTTAACTATTCATCTGTGGATTGGGCAAGGTTCAATTATGATTAAAGGGGAAGTATGTAAGATTGAAAGAGAGAGGGAGAGAGAGAGAGAGAGAGAGAGAGGGTTTAACTCCACTTGACACAAACTAGGTCATTTTGGGACTAACATATGGTTCAATTTTATTTCAATAATTCACTTGTGCGTAGGGGTCTTTAGCAGTGGGAGGAAAGCGGAGGACCCAGAGAAAACCCACGTGGTTGGACAGGCAACCCTACTCCTTGACACGTACAACCTGGGAATCGAAACCACGCCAGATGACTCGATGATAGACCTTATGATACAACGCACACACGCTAACCATTCGGCCATCCAACCCCCTATGTGAGATTTAGATAAAGAGCTGGCCGTTCTTGCAATGATATATTTTACAAATAGATATTGCAAAATGAATATATTGAAAATTTCATTCAAATTACTTTATTTTGAGCGAAGTTATCAATGGTTGTAGTTTTGACAAGATGTGTGCATTGATCGTAACCACAGTACTCGTCAATCGATTCTTAGCCTCTCCTCTCCATGTTAAAATTAAATCATTAAAAAAGGCTCAGCCATTCGAATCTACTTAAAATCATAGCCATCCGGTGGCATCGAGAGTTGAGTATGGTCTTGTTATGTTAATAAATGTCTAATTAATAGTTTATATAACATTTCAGGCCTAAAGAAAGACCTGCAATAGACAGATTTAGCTCTTGCATAATGCCTTTTTAACAATTGACTAGCTTTCCAGATTTTGAGGCGAGAACTGAGAACCCTGTGTAGTAACATTTTCTAGAACACCCAATACCACTTACTTTAGTTAAAAAATTATTTTATATCACATTTAATTCGTAAACTGAATTTGCTTGTAGCACTGATGCTGTTATTGCTAGTGGTGTAAAGGGTTTTAAAGAGACAGACAGTATTGATGAATTTCATAATCAATTGTCAGATGGCTACTCTCAATCTAAATGGGTAGCAGAAAAATTAGTCCAGTTAGCAGGAACACGAGGTTTACCTGTAACGATATATAGACCAGGTATATAATTGATTTCCTTTGTTTGAAAAACAACAAAACCATACCAAGGTTTTTATATATACAGGGCTCTTAAGAAAAAACATGAAATATCTGTGTCAAAATATCAAGTTTTGATTATATCGGGGACCATGGTCTAAGCATGGGTTTAGTAAGTTTGAAGCAGGAATAGTTTATATTTAGATTATATATAAATCTTGTGGTAATTTAATTCAAACATGGATCACAATCTGTGTTTTGTATTAGTTTCTATAGACGAAGATTTTGATTCTAATGTTGGCTGAGGTCATTATTTTCAGTGTGGTTTCGCCTTGTCAGGACCTGGCAAAGAAACGTATCTAGTTGTTTGGACAGGTTCTGTGTACATTACTGTGCATGTAAAAGAACCCTTGACAGTTGAAATGAGATGAAGAGTAGTGGAAATAACTGAAAATTAAATTAACGTATATTAAAGTTACATTATCTAAGATTTAGATAAAGAGTTGGCTGTTCTTTCTATAATAGTTCAAAAATAGATGATTCAAAATGAATATATTTAAAATTTCAATTAAATTACTTTATTCTGAGCGACATTATCATTGTTTGAAGTTTTTAAATCTCCAACATCTAGATTCTTGATTATAGGCTTGTTATGTGAATAAATTTTTAAATAAAAGATTATGTAATATTTGAAGCCAAAAACCTGCAATAGGTAGATTTAGCTCTTGCATAATGCATCTTCAATTTCAAAGCAAAATACATTGGTAAAAAAATAATAATGGGTTGACAAAATATATACTGTGTTTATGCAACAAAATACATTGTAAACAAAACAATTCAGTGTTGACAAAAATCTTATATCCTGTTCTATTCATTCCAAAATTTTCATTTTTCAGGTAATATGTCTGGTGATAGTATAAATGCCTACTGGAATCCTCAAGATTTTACTCTCATAGTGTTACAAACATGTACTGAATCCGGCCTAGCTCCAAAAGTTGACTGGAAAATGGAAATGACACCAGTTGATTTTGTAGCCAAATTCATCATTAAAATCGTTCAAAACCCAACAATTTCTATGAAAAATACATTCCATATTGTCAACGATAAGCCTTTACACTCAAGGTAGGTGAAACAAAACAAAAAATGTAACTGTAAATTTACTTCAAAATAAAAAAAATATTTAGCAGCTATTAATATCCAAGGACAATGGAATTTTACACAAGGCTTGAATACTTAAAGCGTCATGTATACATGGATATAATGTGATCAATGTCAGATTTACCATTGTGCTTAGGTGTGCTTGAGCATAGGGCCCCGTTGGCCAGGGGGTTGTGGGAAGGGGCCACATCTTTCCTGATAATTAAATAAAATGCCTAAAACTTGTTGAAAAGAATGATTGATCAGATAACATGTAATATTTTAACAACTCATAAATTTTCTCCTTCAGGGCCCAAGTAAGGGGTCTCATAACCTATCTAGCACAGGGCCTCATTTGTGGCACTGAGTTGATACTGTTGAGTCAAAGATAATGTTGGTTCATTTGGCAAAATGTTTTGACCATATTTTGGGCATTGTGATTTATCTGATTCATTGATTATGATGAATCTGATTCATTGATTGTGATTGATCTGATTCATTGATTGTGATTGATCTTTCATTGATTGTGATTGATCTTTCATTGATTGTGATTGATCTGATTTATGCCATCATCAATTGTTTTAATTTTAGATGGGTGTTTGAATGGATGAATGCTCATGGTTTTCCCCTAGAGATGTTAGAGTTTAATGTATGGAGAGAACGGTATGGTCAATTCAGTTTTCAATCTCAATTCATTATTCAATCTGCCAATAAAATGTTTATATAAATAATATTGAGAAGACTAATGTATTATTTTCAAGACTGTATATAGGCCAGTTAAACTGGAGACCTATACATGAAGATAAAAATTTTAATTAAAATATCATGCATTTTGCTTAAATCGTGAAAAATCAAAAACATTTTTATGAAATTTACATTGTCAAATCAAATGCCCCCTAGTCCTACATATAAAGATCAGATTGTATTTGATTATATCTCATCACAGAATATCATGTAAGATTGTAAGTCATTTTATCTAGGTAATGCTTTTATTTATTACAGAGTATTAGAGAAAATAAAGACAGGGAAAAGACACAGTATGAACTTTCAGGCTTTAATGGATTCTTATCTGAAGTAAGTGAAATTTTAAATACATGGAAAGCTCAAATTTTAATTGAAATTCTGATTTTTGTTCAGGATTCCCAATAAAACTATTGACATTATTTTCTTGTATTGTTTAGAAATGAAGTATTTGTTGGTCCGTCCACCATTTTGTTAACAGAGAATTTTAAGCAAGCTTTAGCAGACAGTCAAATGGTATATCCTTATATAGATTCTTCTCTCCTGACAGTTTATTTTGAGAATCTGTCTTCTAGAGGCGTGTTAATTAGTGCTTCCTGTAATAATCAAATTAACTGTAAGTACATTTTGTTATAACTGCATGCTATTACTGTTAACTGATAGTATTCAACCCAGGCCTTTTACTAATGAAAATTTTTGTCATTAAATCATACAAGTGTTTATCTTTACTCTAAACTAATGTTTAAACATACATTATGCAAGAGCTAAATCTTCCTGTTGCAGGTCTTTCTTTAAGCGTGAAATGTTATATAAACTATTAATTAGACATTAATTAACATGACAAGACCATAATCAACTCTCGATTCCAGTAGATTAGAACGGTTCATCCATATTTTGATTTAATTTAAAAATGGAGAAGTATGGCATAGCTTCGAACAACCGGTACGCTGGTTGCAATTAATGCAGATATCTTGTCAAACTTTCAAAGGCTAATGGAATTTTCAATATATTAATTTTGCATTATCTATTTTCAAACTATAATAGCAAGAATGGCTAGCTCTGTATCTAAATCTTACATAATGTATCTTTAATATGTATAGAAAGTGGTTAGAAACTAGTATGTTACCTTTTTTTTTCGTTTTTCTTAGATTGCTTCCCTTATTGTTAGTTTGATTTTATTTTGATTGAAGCCTGTATAACTAAAGGCCCAGGACTATAATGTCTGTACAGCGCAGTTGGTTATCGCTAGCCACCAGATCCATTCACGTGATCTGATACATGTATATGCTTTTGTTGTCTGAGGTGTGTGTATATTGTGTCCTATGTATCGTAATTGTTTTTATGTGGTATGTATGGCCCACTCTGTACTTACTATAATCATTAATTAGCAGATGTATAACTACCTGTAAAAGATCCCACTTCTAGTGTAAAAGTGTGACTTATTCTAATACCCATCACTATTCAATACATACAGTCAACTGATAGTGGTGTATATTATTCAATAGTCACGGACTTAACCGATCCATTTACTAGATTTTATATGAATTGTTTATTTCTTGCAGTGTCTATGTAGTTTGTCTTGTGCGTAGGTTTATCTTGTCGGTTTTGTTTTGTGTGTAGTGGTGTGGTCCTCTAGCTATTACTATTATAGTGACATACATGTAACACCTATTTACTGACTACTGCCTGATTACTGACTAATAAACACAACTTAGATCTGTTTGTCTAATATATTTTCATTTCTAAAAGTTCTTGGTTCATAAGTTAATGATATCTGGGGAATGGAAATGGTCCACAGTCAAAATTTAATATCCAAAATAGATATAATTCATCATACCAAAATCACTATCAGAATATGTAAATCGATAATCTCCCAACCTTTAAAAACGCTAATATAGGACTTGGTACATTTCCAAAGCATATAGACATGTTTAAAAGAATGCTAGCTGTTATACAAGTGACTAATAGAGCCTACAATGCCCCCCACCCCCTTTCTTACAACTGCCTTGGAAACAGATTAAGCTAAAACTCGTAAACCTCCTAGACTTTACTGGACAGCTGCAATTATGGGGTGAATACTTAAATATTGCAAAATCTTTCTATTCTCTCTTTCAAACTCCAATATAAAAATTGGCCTTGAATCAAAATTTGACATTCTCTTCTTTGATGCTTATGACATTGTATTCCCCTCCCCCCCCACCCCGCAAAGAAAAAGAAGAGGCAAACATAGAATGTATTAAACAATAAACAAATAGACCCGCTGAATATCCTCAATTTATTAATAACAGGGCTCATAAAAAGGCTAAGAAATCCTGAGACTAAGTTCATGCATGCTCGAAATTGATAAGGGTCAATATTGTAGGTTGTAGATGTATGTGCATTGTGCACTTGTAGCTGAAACTTATGCTTTAGCGTCGCGATTCAGGACAAATCTCATTTCCTGTCTTGTGTGTGGGAAATACTTATGAGAAAATAATATATTTTTACAATTCTTCCATATAATATAGGTTTATTACCAAGTCTTCTAAAATCACCTAAAATCAATTTATATAATTATATACCACACTTTTTTTTATTGCAACGCATTAATTATAGGCCTACTGATCCAGTATCTTTTATCGATTTTATTATTATTTTCTGCTAAATTTACTGAAATATGTACCTTATTTCTTAATTTGACCATGATGTAAATTATAGTATTTACTACATGACTAAATAATACTCTTAATATATTAATATATATTAACTGTTCATTCTGTTAAACCACACGGTTGGATCACAGAGTAAATGTATTTTTACTCTCGCTCTGTGGTTTGATATCGTTGCATATTTAATTCTCTGTACGTACACATACTTTCACGTTGCTTCCATGCTTTTGTGGTCAGTAAGTTGTTGGAATTTTAAAAGCCATAAATTTATTTATTTTCGGTATATAATTGAATGTATTTATACATTGATATCAAAGTTCAACTTAGTTGTCTCGTGCAAACATCTATTCCTGATATTTACTCCAATTTCTGTTACGGATTTTTTGACATGTATTTCTCGGCATTTTATAATTTTCTTTGGTGTTGATTTATTTCTGTTATTAAAATGAACGAGTCCTCTTCATGGACGCGTTACCTATATGATTAGAAGTTAGACGATAGCACGACATTAACAGAATTAGAATCTAATAGGCAGCCATATATTTTAGATTACACGTTTCTCGATAAATAATGAATGGAAAGTGTTGTTCTTACGGCGTCGGTCAACCGGATATAAAATCAAACTACCGGGTATAAAATGTCAAGGTCGTTTACCTCACCGCGAAAATGGCATCAAACATAACAGGGAATTATTACCGATATTAAGTTTTAATTGTAGAGAAATAAAGGGTTTTTCTTACGTGTCACTGTCAGTGATAAATCAACACCAAAGAAAGTTATAAAAAGCTGCAAATATAGCCTACGTATCAAAATTCTTGAAAGATAGACTAAATAATAAATATCAATGAATAAATTTTAATTATGTTTGTACAAAATTATAAATGAAATGTTCCAGAATTATCCTAATTTGTGCCGTCTGCCTCATTGGACATTACATTAAGTATAAGAGCCTATGTGCAGCTATGGCTATACTCTGTGTGGATCAGATGCATGGAGGCCCCGGCATAGGACTACTTAAATAAATGCCCCCCCCCCACCCTTACAATTTACTGAATGTGGACTCTAAGTGCACTCTGGGTAATCCGCTGCCTAGAGTATCTTATAATACACATGTTGTACACTGGGAATTAAACTCAGTGTTAAAGTAGCTAAGTCTCTAACTCAATATCATCCAAAATCTTCAACATTGAAAACACGATTTATTTGTCAAATTAAATCAACATTCATGTTGTGATCTTACCGGAAAAAGATGGGCTTTTGATATCCAATATTTAAGACAAAATAAACATTTTACCATTGGTACATAATGCGCTTCAGTCCCAGTTGTATCAAGAGACTTGTGGGACGAGGCTAGACACATTGCACCAAATAAAACGGCGTATGTAGACTGGAATAACCAGACGCTAGAAATTTGCACTCGCTTGAGACTGCTGGCTTATTTCGCCGAACATAACTGATTTGAAATTGGAGTAAAAACGGAAACCATTGAATGTAAATCAGTTTATATACATTCATATTACAGTACGTATTATATGCATTGCGACCCATTTGTGTCAATTTCTAGGTGATTTAGCTCCTTTAAGACCACTTTATCAGTCCTGCAACTGGTCTTATATAGCAAGGTTTCACTGTATTTATATTTTACCTTTGTTTTGTTCTGTGTTGCTCTATATTTGAGTCCAAGTACAATAATTCTGTGCACACCTAGCCCCTGGTGTGCCATAACTCTTTTGTGCACGCCTAGTGCAAAACTTGACACAATAGATCTATTTCATTGGCTAATCTGTTTAATCAAACTCAACACAGATAATTAAAAACAACCTCTTGAAATATAAAAAATAAAACAAATATATATTTTGAATCAGGATAATTCTATTATGTATAGGCACACTTTGGATTTAAATACCATTTTCGTCTTCCTAATTCTGATTGTTTTTTTTTTTGTTTTTAGTAATAAGGCCATTATCAGACAAGGTTGTGATAGTCACAGGTGCATCTAGTGGTATAGGTGCTGCTGTGGCTGTAAGATTAGCTAATCTAGGTGCTAAAGTGGCATTAGTTGGTAGAAGGGAAGGAGAACTAATGAAATATGTTAATGTTATTAAAGACAATCATGGGGTAGGAATACCTGTTAAAGCTGACGTCACCAATCGTTCAGAGGTAAATCATTACAATTTTTACAAAGTGTAGGGATAGATTCCATGCTGTACTTTCAGTTTGGAAAACTGATCACTTTCAACAAAATAATCTATGTACCCCAGTAAATTTTATTTTACATAACTGGTAACGCTAGGCTCCCTCAAGCATTGAACAAATAAATATAAAGAATTTTGAATGAGAGCTCGCTGATCTCCACGATGTGTACAACTTGTTTGTATTAAAACGTCTGTGTATGTTCATAGTGGATTGGCAGATTTATTTTAAATTCAGACTACAATCAAGTATATCCCTGATTCAGCTGTATCATGGTCAGTTATTATCTCCCAATATAATTTAAACGATCACCTGGGATCTCCAAAATGAGAGTGCCTACTGTTTGAGCCTATTGCAGTCATTGCTATATCTCTGATTTTTAAAGTCCTATCTGGTTTGCTTTTTTCAAGGTAGAAGAAATGGTACGACATACTGAATTGTCATTAGGACCAGTAGATATATTGGTTAATTCAGCTGGTGTTATGTATTATACTTATATGAAATCTAAACATTATGATGAATGGGAACGACAGATTGATATCAATTGTAAGGTAAATATATGAGTGTACAAGCTTTAGAATCGGTCCACCACTCAGATTAACCATAAAGTTAACATCTGAGTTAGACATGTGTGCCATTACATAGTGTTAGAAAAGAAATATTGGACAGATTGTGTAACCTCTTGTATTATAATGTACCAGTAAATCATAATATAGTATCCATGGTAACTACATATATAAGTGTTGTATTGAATATATTACAGGGTTTAACATCATGTATTGGAGCTGTATTAACTGGTATGATAGACAGAAAGTTCGGTCACATCATAAATATATCTTCAAATGCTGGCAAGAGGGTAAAATAGACCATTTATTCTCTGTGTATTTGGGAATGTAAGAGAGATATTCAATAGATACAATCAATTAAAATTTTATTTTATTTAGTATTTATTGTTGTGATTTTCTGTGCTATATAAGACACCTGTTACCACTGTTTGTCGTGTATTTTGTACACAAGGAGCAGTCCATTTGCTGATTACACTATTTTGCTTGAATACACTATTTTGCCTATAATGTTTTTTAGGACTTCGAATTCTGTCTTATGGTTTGGATTGTTCGTACTTGGTTTTATTTTATTTTTATATCTAACATATATTTAGAACAGCTGGCGTTCAGATGGCTTACATTCGCAGTGTTGTGGATGAGACCTCAGTCTGTTTGTCAAAATAGTAGGTTAAAATATGGAATAAGCTTATGGAATATCAAATGAAAGAAAAAGAAAAACATTCTAAAATTTAAAAAAAATATAAAAACTAAACCATCAGAGTTAATTATCAGGCATCTAATTGATCAGAATTTCTGATTGTCTGATTTGCTGGTCTAGCTGTATATTCTGATACTATGTTTTATTATATTGTAGGGATTTGCTGGTCTAGCCGTATATTCTGGTACTAAGTTTTATGTAGAAGGATTATCACAAGCATTACGTCATGAAGTAAAGGAATATGGTATAAAAGTGACATGTATACAACCTGGTGATGTTAAAACTAATTTATTATCACATACAACAGATAAACAGGTTAGTTAACATCACAAGACAAAACATAATTGATTACATTTTTGAGATGAAGGGGAATGCTATATCATGAGGTAAAGAACAATTCCATTAAGCTCTTAAAATGTCCTTTAAGAATCCTGTCTTATTGACAAGCTTTTAAAGTTTGTTCTTTAAATGGCATTTATTAACTGGATAGAGTAACAACAAAACACATACTTATGGAAAACAGCTACTAGTGTATTTGAGGCGACGTTTCGTAGAGTATTCTCTCAACGTTATCAAGCTAATACAGTAAAACAGGTATGAGGCAAATATATATAGACAAAATACAGCAACATAACCGAAACCATACATAGCAACAACATGATCAAAGGCCTACACCAACACTTATTAAGATATACAATAGCAGATAGAGAGTTAATTAACTTATAGTCCATGGCCAGTGAGGATGTCTTAACAACAAAAATGGAAACCATACCTTAAAACAATTAGATCAAAGGGTTGTGACACAATTTGGTAACAATATACAAAAGTAAGAAAAGAAACCGCTATGTTAAACGATCAATAAGCTGACTAAGTAGTTGCGATATTAACCGAATATGGGAGGTGATTATTATTATAGTTAAGACAATAAATTAAGGCAATGGAGTATATACAACAGATAAATGTAACATGATGAAGGGTAGATTAAATATAACTGTTATTTCATTGCACATATCTATTAACACTTGTAATTTTATGATAGGATAATTAGATATCCAATAGAGTTATAGATTTAATGTAAAAACAAAAAGAATTTATAACAATGAATATAGCACGATAGTAAATACAATAACTAGTCAAAAGATAACACACAGCACACTTGTACAGTTTATAAGGAGTGGTGGAACCATGCTATTATTCAAATTAGTTGATCATACGCATTGGGCAAAAATATCCCTGTATCACGGTTAAGATCTGGGCTGTTCCTTCTGGTTTGTATTGCCTCCATTATCTTCCGTGTCTTTTCTATTGGGAGATTAGATGCCAGGGTTTCGTATGACTCAATTCTGTGTCCAGGGTTGGTCTGGAGATGTTGTGCAACAGCTGAGTTAGTGATGGACGACTTGGACTTGTGCTGGCTTATTCTTTTATCTAGGGGTTGTCTAGTTTCACCGATGTAAGTACTAAGACAAGAGCAGGCAACTTTATAGACACACTCTTTCTGGGGCGGGGGTTTATTCGGGAGGAGCTTACCATTAGCTTTCAGGATATCTTTAAGTGTTCGGCCCTTGGAGAAGGTGACCTGGATACCTATTGGGATGAGGATTCTCCTGAGGTGGTAAGTGAGCTTCCCTTGAAACGGTATGGTGATTCTTATAGGTGGTTTTTCTGGTTTGGTTTTTCCCGGATCTGTAGGGGTGTCAATGGTGGTTTTAATGGTCTTTTTAACAAATTGTAGAGGGTAGTTGTTCAGGTTTGTAAGGGCTTCTTCAATGTGGTCTAATTCTTTTTGGAGATGTTCTTTGTCACAAATGTTGACAGCACGGCGGGCTAAAGTTGCTATGGTTGCTTTCTTAACACTGTGTGGGTGGTGGGAATAGAAGTTAATGTACTGGTCAGTATGTGTTGGTTTTCTATAAACACTTGTTGTGAGCCTACCTTCTGTTTTCTTAACTAGTACATCCAGGAATGGGAGGCATTGGTTTTCTTCTGTTTCTATTGTAAATTTAATTCTGCCATTTTGGTTGTTGAGGTGATGGAGCAAGGCGGTGTGGTCTTCGTTCTGACGGAGAATTACAAAGACATCATCGACTTTACAGAGCCAAATTGTGGGTTGGATGGGTGAGGTGGAAAGAGCCCTCTCTTCAAAATCGGTCATATAGATTTCACTTAGAACTGGGGATAGGGGACTGCCCATTGGTAGACCGTGAATTTGTTCGAAGTAATCATCCCCCCAAGAGAAATAAGTGGATTCTATGCAGGATTTAGTTAAGTTGACTATATCTTCTATGGTGAGATTGGTATCCAGTGAGTTCTCCATTGAAGTGAGTCTATATCGTAGTGCTGCTAAGGCTTCATCTCGGGGGATATTAGTAAAGAGGTCAATGACATCGTACGATAGGATAAGTGTATCTTTAGGGAGGTCTCTAAGTTTTTCGCAGAAATCTTTAGAATCTTTGATAAAGGATGCAGCTTCCTTGCCTAATGGGGAAAGAAGGCTTGACAGGTACTGTGCGGTGTTATAATATACGGAATCTCTGGAGAATACTAGCAGTCTGGCTTTAATGGGGTTCTTATGTGTTTTAATGGTGGCTCTGGCATATGGTGGTCTAGGATGGGACGGCTTAAGTTTGTAAAATAGGGAAGGTGTGAGTCTCTTCTCGTCTTTGAGCTTAACTAGTTGTGCGGTATGGCTGTCATTGAAGGTGTTAGTTGGGTCTTTCCTAATCTTCCTATAGGTAGTGCGATCATTGAGAAGGTGGGAAACAGTATGGTTTCGGTTATGTTGTTGTATTTTGTCTATATATATTTACCTCATACCTGTTTTACTGTATTAGCTTGATAACGTTGAGAGAATACTCTACGAAACGTCGCCTCAAATACACTAGTAGCTGTTTTCCATAAGTATGTGTTTTGTTGTTACTTTTAAAGTTTGTTACAAAGAGATTTTGCTTAATAAAGATTCTGAATTTTGATAGTAGTCATACTGATGGTGGTCAAGCAAAAACAGTCAGAAATTTGATGGGTGGGTGATGGGGTATCATTACCAGGTTTACTACTGATCACTGTATTTATTCTGTTATAATTTAGGCCAAAGAAGAATTTGATGGAAGTGAATCTTGTACAATATTAGAACCTGATGATATAGCTAAAGCTATAGAGTATGTGTTACTACAACCTCAACACGTCGGTCTAAATGAAATTCTCGTAGAACCACAACTGGCACCAATCTGAATCTTTCTAGGAACGGGTTGGACATGATATTCAAACTTTTGAACTGAAATTGTGATGTGTAAACATTGTGTTTATAATCTGAATCCCAGGAATATGTGAGTCAATATGAACAGCAGCAAAACACTGGACCTAAATCTTTGTACAATTTACATTTTCCACAAATCTCAATCACTCATGGAAAAGTAGCAATATCTTCATTTTGATAGATTATGTTACCCTATTCATGGACGTTATTTATTTACATGGACTGGTTACGAGAAGCCATGTTGCTAAATGGCTGCTTCGCGCGAGAAAACACGAGAGAAGCCAGTACTCAATGCCTTCACTAATTAGCTATAATCACCCATTTTCATCATTCCGTTGTGTGTCCTGAATTTACCAAAAACTGCTAAAATAAACTTTTATTTGACAAGATAAGTCATTAACTATAATTTCCGTTGCATATATGTATTCATTTTATTTGTAAACAACTTTGTAATTACCATTTTCAAAGTACACGTAGACTGCAACGTCACCATTGTTGTTGTTTTATAAGCAATCGAAAACATGCGTCAGGATTTTTGCTTTCAATCAAAATCTATTTATTATTTCATATTTTTCTGACATAATTCTTATACACGTAAATCTAGGGCATTGTTTGGAAAAAAATTCATTGATTTTTAAAAAACTAAAATATAATTAATTACTTCCTAAAAACAACAAAAATAACACTTTTGACAAACAAACATAATTTTATGAAAAAATATGTGATTTTATTTTTGCTTTCAATCAATCAGTGAAACATTTATTTTTGGAATTAATGATCCCTTTCTCCATAAACTTTGATATCTTATCTACTGTACTGGGCAAAATTCTTATTTTTAAAACAAATATTAACATTTTTAAAAATTATTTTGTTTTGTGATATTTTCAAGTACCAATGGCAATGCAGCATGTAGGCAACTGTACAACAATCATAAATAAACTTGTATTTGATTTGAACCAAATTACCCCACAGTTTTACGCAGTTTCTTTAGATAATAAAAGTGAGAAATTTTGTTTAAAATAAGTTTAATTTTATTGGCATATTATTCAATAAAATATACACATCTGACGGCTTGCAGATTTATTTTATAGGTGTTGTAAGCCATTATACTCAAATGGAGCAGTACGCATGCCAGGTACTATGCCAGGGACATAACTCGTTAACAACTTTTGTTTGGTCGTGATTGACACGTCTCAGATTACCGTGATGTGTCTCAAATTACAGCGCGGCACACATCTCTGGTTATGTTATTAAGCCGTTGTCGGTCCATGTATTATAAGGTCCATGGCCTATTCAAAACATTATGTTGAAGCTTCTGTGTATTAAGCACAGTGTGAGTTGTAAATATAAGAAAGGTGGAGTGGAATGATGGGTGTAGAAGCTCCTTTAAAGACTATTTCATCCCCACTTCAAAACCACCCAGCAGTTGTTGTCTTTCACTTTGAATAGTTTACATGTATATGGATAAAAACATTTTTATTACCTTTTTTGTAAAATCTTGTTTCTAACATTTTAAAAGTTGATGCCATTATAAATTAAAGTCTCATTCTTTTTTATTAATTCTTGTTATTAAAAGTGAAAACCATCATTGATTGCCCCAAAGTAAAAACTGTCATTGATTACCCCAAAGTAAAAACAATCATTGATTGCCCAAAAGTAAAAACAATCATTGAATGCCCCAAAGTAAAAACATTGATTGTCCCAAAGTGAAAACATTCATTGATTGACCGACATTTACGACATTATTACACAATTTATTTGTAATCATTTTTATGCTTTAACTGTCACACTGTAGGCCAAAAATTAAACTAAATAGTCTTTAGGAACCAAATTCAATGTACAGGGCTTGTCCCATCTCTAATAGAAATAACACATCAGATAAACCCAATACCATACTTTATTTTGACTTAAATCAAATAGGTTAATTTTCTAAGCTATTTTGAGTAAATATATACAACAATAACAACCTGCAATCCTACATAAGTAAACATATAGATTAAACCCATTGCGGAAGCGGACGTTAAAGTTATTTCATGCACTATTTAGTGTTGCCCAAGGCCCCACACAGAGAGCCTGGCTAACTGGGGTAGTGGGTGCCATTTTGCTACCCAATCTGTAAGATATAATGGGTCGGGATAGGAACTGTGTACGAATCAGCAGCTGCATTGCACTAAGACTGGACAAAAAAGGGCAAGATCTAATTCTTAAGGCTAACTCAAGATTATTAAAGATTGCTGAGATGTAATACGGTTGGTTGGTGCACGTTATTGTTGGCGAGATTGTAGGTTAGGGTTTGGGTAAGCGTTAGGGCTAGGTCCAGGGTTAGGGTTGGGATTAGTGCTAGTCATTTTTTACATCTCGTGAGCTTTGACCAAACTTGAAGTTGGCCTTATAAAATAGATCTAACCCCAAAAAAGTCGTTTTGTTACCCAATCGCAATTCTCCAGACACTCCGGGTTTGCCTGCTCATTTAGTCTGTGACGTGTACATCCGGGAGCTGATGGGAGTCAACTGAATTTGCTCTTACTGAAATTGATGAAATGGATGTCAACTTGTGGTTATCTAGCTTTTTATGTCTCAGACGCTTTGAGAATTTCACCAATCTGGGTTGGGCCAGAATGATTCTGACTTGCTTCTTCGCCGTTTTTCTGAAGTCCCGCAAGTTACGCTTAAGATAAGCAAAGTGATGCCCCAGTGTAGCAATATCCACAACGATGATCGCAAGTATGATGGTGATGAAAATACCCAATACGACAATTCCTATCCACATTGACCCCTCGGCTTCAACTGGTTCCGGTTCAAATCTTTTCTTGTACCATCCAGCTGCAATTGAAAAAAATAATGGTACTTAATTTTTATAAATGAATGAATTTTACGTCCTACTGTCTGTTCCGACTTTTAATTTGTATAAGAATGCAGCGCCGAATATCTATATATCTTTAACATGCTGCATACGAGAGTACCTATTGTCTGCAGTGATCCCGCGTCCTGCATTAACCACAACGGAAACCAGACTGGAAAATCTCACGGAAAATTCCCACTCAACACCTGGATCGAACCGTTGACCTTCTGGTTAGTAAACCAGCGCCTTACGCACCAAAGCGCCGCGTTTCTCCCGCGTGATTGGCGTCGTTCGTTCGCCGGGCTTAACGCCCGCTTCTACCTAGGGTGATATCGCAGTCCCGTGTACGGCTCTTTGAAATACTAGTTATAATTTACGTCCATTGACTTTGGCCACATCACGGACATTTGGGGTGTATTTGAATCATTTGAATCACAAGTACAATCGACACCAGGGGATCGCTGGTAACGCCCATGTCCAACTCCAAAAAATGGCGTCATTATACAATAGTTCTTCATTTATACTTGATAGTTTATACTTTATAATTTTAACATAAATTCAAATCAATCAGTTGTTTCTGCGTAACCGTCTTCAATCTTAAAATTACCCCCTCCCCGATGAATTTAGTTGTTCGGCTGTTTTCGATATTTGTTTGTTGCGACGTATGTTATTTTAAACAAGTCTTCCGATAATAATAACTTACCTGTACACTCTGGATCGTTACCAACCCAGTTTCCGTCTCTGTCACAGAACTTGATCCAGTAAATTATATTGTCATCAGGATATATATAACAATCAAATACAGCAGTATCACCAAACATCTCACCAGTTACATTAGATTTAGCACCCACATACCATGGTGCTTCACCACAATAAACAGCTGAAAACACAGATATTCTTATAATAAAATGGAAGGTGTAATAAAAAGAAATGAAGTTTAACGTCCTACGTTTCTGCACCGACCTGGATTATAAAGACGAGTAAATACGCCATTCAGTATTCTGTAAGGAAAATTCTGCTCGCACAATGTCGTTTACGTCTACCCTTCATCGAATTACAACTGTCAAAGATTTTCGAATACGCCAACGAATACCCCGGTGGACCTTGTTTTTTCGTCTCATCCGAAAGACTAATCGCCTCTCCCTTGCAAGATTTCTTTTGCAGAATTCTGGTGATCAGAAAACATTTATAACATGAGTAAAATTGAATACTACGCATGGGAATTATGTTATTTATTAAGAATTTTGCAAGAACGTACAAAATACTGTGAATCTATGATAATTTACACTCCTGATTACACTCAACTGATATACGTTTTATTATGTTGTTCTTGTGACCAATCCATGTTTTAATACTATATAGGTGTTGTTTGCTTGCTGTGACGACCATCAATATACAATTTGTTGAACTTTAAATATTATTCATTTATAATTACAGTAAACGTCGCATAAGTCGGATTCGTATAAGTCGGATCTTCGCTCAACTCGGATAAAATCGTTTGGACCCCTTTTCTTATTAAATGTATGTGCGTAAGTCGGATTTCCAAAGTCGGATCTTCGCTCAACTCGGATCAAAATGTTCGGTCCATTTGATCTAATTCCGGATTTTTTTTTTCTTTGCCTAAGTCGGATCGGCAGTATGTTCAGAATTTGACTAAGTCAGTTTCGTCTTGATGGTCTAAAACACGGTTAGCTATTCCATGCACAGAGCCCCAAAATACGTTCCCTTATCATTTTGACTCAAATCAGCCTATTTGAGGTGACGCAATAATAGGGTTGTCTGCTGTAGGAGACACTTTCCGGGAAAATTTAGGACATTTATCTACTCGTACCAAAACGGAAGTTTTTTACTCCCACATACGAACAAAAGCTTGAAATGTGCGTTTGAATCAATTATTATCCGGCTCTTGCTGTTTATTTCTAATCGAGCTAAGATTGAATTTTGGTCTTCTTCCAGTTAGATCCGACTTATGCGAAGTTTACTGTATTTAATTTGAATATTATAACAAACATTTTATAATTTTCGCGCCCCAATGTTGTCACATTTTATCATTTTAACAGCATTAAGGGGAACGACTGAAAGACATCTTGATCCATTCAAAGATCCTCAAATTCATCAATATGGAATAAATCGATTAATGTGGCTTCAACTGATTAAAAATGATGCAATTGATTATTGTGGATAACTCGATTAGTATTGATTAAATGACTTACGTGTACAGTTTAAATTAATATCAGACCAAGTTCCATCATCTTGACAGATTGATACAAAATTTCCACCAGCATGTACATGTCCTTTGTTACACGAATAGGTAGCCATGGCTCCAAAGCCCTCAGAGTTTGTTATGGCTGTTGCGTTCTGAACATCTGGGGGCTCGACTGGACATCTTATATCTGGAATAACATCAATACAGTTGAGTATAAAAGTGGCGACCTCTTTATTTAGTCCGGAGTAAAGTGTGGAATTGGACAGATCTGATATGTTATGCTATGTGAGAGATCGAGCGTTATACGATTAAATGTTGGCAAAATAAATATACCCGACAAACATCGATTATATCTTGATAATTTTATCAAAATCGACAAAGAACTACTTTTGGTCAAATTTTTATGATCGGCACAGACCATTTTTACTACAACACTAACTATTCCCGTAAACCTAATTCTTTATAGTGCGTACGGTAATGTATTTTGTTTTATCAATAATCAGATGTCAGGGTAAGTAGGCCTAACTCTAGAAACATATTTACGAAAACGCCCCAAACTTGACACGCTGAAGTCAACTTTACTAATATCCATATGCAAATGGCGGCACATGATTTTTGGTGATGATTCTGTTATTTGCTTACCGTCACAAACTGGGTGTTCTCCGCTCCAAACAGCATGGTCGTTACAGGTTCTAGTTTGGTTTCCGCTACTTAATGAGGTTCCTAGTTCACATTCATAGGATACAGTATCCTTGAATTTCAGGCCAGTGAAACGTGGGATTGCTCGATTCTTAGGTAATGGCGTTGGACAAATAATCTCTACAATCATATAATACAAATTGTTTATTAGCTGTGTGATTATTCAAAGGGAGACTGGCCATGTTTGTCCCCATGGCTGTGACGTAGCGTTATGCGCCACTTAATACAATATTCGCACTAGCAACTACTTCATTATCCCTACACAAGTAAATGAACATGTTTACCGAACTATAAAAATCAAGTAGCCTATAGATAAAGTTGTAGGGGGTTGGGGTGGCCTAGCGTCGTGCTTCGAGCTCTAGCTCGCGGTTGTGGTTTCGATCCTTGGAGATCGGGTCTCGTGGGTTTACTTCGGGTTCTCCGGTTTCCTCGCACAAGAAAGATTTCTGGGCTTACGCTAAGCATAATTAAATGAGAAAACGGACGTTAAACTCTAATAGAAGAAAAAGAAGATATAGCCTGCTGTTCATTCAATGGTAAGACGATTTTAAACGTATTTCACACAAATCCAATGGTTTTATAGAACATCAAAGTAAATTTTATAGCACTATGTTAACATAGTGGATTGTGTAGTAGGCCTCATCACACGAACGTTATCCGATGGGCTCATCCTCGAGATTCCACGTAGCTAACAGCTAGATTCGTATGTTTTGTGCTGAATACTTGTACTTACTTCAGTCATCATAAATTTGGGCCTAAACCGTTTCAATATGAATTGAATGGGATTATTTCCAATTGTCAAACGTTCTTTTATGTGCACGCCAGAGTATACACGGGTAGTATACTCACTCTTGATTAGTGAGAGCCATATTTAAAAAATCACGAAGCTTCTTCTCGGCCCTCACCTGGATTCGAACCCCGGCCATTCTAATCATGCAGTGGCCCAGGACGGCTAGATCAAGATTTCGTTAAGGTCGCTGAAATGTAAATAAGGTTAGGGCACGCGATTGTTGATGAGATTGTGGGTTAGGGTTTGGGTAAGGGTTAGGGCTAGGTCCAGGGTTAGGGTTAAAGCCAGCCCTGTTTACATCTCGTGACCTTTGACAACATCTGGAGGTAGCCTTTAGAAATAGATCTAACCGGCCCAGGACCATGGCCGCTCGACTAGCACTCCACCGCACTCCACACCAGCCTCGATTAGACTGGAGCGAACCGTTGGTACAGTTTTAGTTTTACACTGAAGAACCTACCTGCACAGAAGGGTAAAGTACCATCCCACACAGCTGCCACAGTACATCGTCTATCTAGGTTACCTCTTATAGCATAATAATAAGGATAACATGTATATGTTACATATGTATTATACTCATTTGTACCAACTACCATAAAACTATGATCTACAGGATCTGGTTGAGGACACTTGATAGCTGCAAAATATAAAATGGGCGCTTGTTAACTTCAGAAAACATATAAGATAATTTACTTTAAAGCTTAAAAGAGAGCAAAAAGAAAACTTTTGTTTCAAATTTTCTATATCTGCCTCAAAAAAATGAAAATATTTGTATGCAACAGTACGGTGTTTTGATGGCTATATTATACAATATCCGGTTAGTCGCAGTGGTCGTAAATCGATTTATTATTACTTCGGTCCTCATATTCATTGACAGTGTTGTTTTCGCCATGTCTTGGGATATGCGTTACATACTTATGGAAAACAGCCACTAGTGTATTTAAGGTGACGTTTCGTAGAGTATTCTCTCAACGTTATCAAGCTAATACAGCACCACAGATATAACGCAAATATATAGACAAACCCATGACTTTGCATGAGGAACAAAATCCCGCCCGGGCCCCCAAAACATTATTTATATGTGTGTGCGGGTGGGGTGATATGGGGTAATATTGGGCTGTGTGGAACATGCTAGAGTCGATTTGTCATTTGCTAGGGAGCACAAAAACTCAAGGGGGAGCAAAGTCTCAAAACCGTAACGCAAAGCTCGTCATTACGTGGAACCACGGTGTCTAAGTGGGTATGACGCTGGCTCGCTAGCCTGGAGGTCGGGTGTTCGATCCCTGCATTGGCCGAGAAAGTCTATCTCGATTTTCCGACGTGGTTTCCCTTGTTAGTGGTGCAGGACTGACTATAGTCGTCCGGATGAGACGTAAAACCGAGGTCTCGTGTATACATTGGCATGCACGTAAAAGATCCCGTGGCAGTTGGAATTCAATATAAGAGTAGGCCATAGTGCGGCTGCCCGGGCAAAATTTCTCTCAAAGCACACTGTATGGCGTATGCCCGTCTTCATTAGCCCAGCAGAACGTTAAACCACATATCTTTTCATTTCATTTTCGTCATTACGTCCCTCACACTTAGCCCCTGAGACAAACTGTAACAACATAACATAAACCATACATGACAGTTTAGGATTTGGTAACATAAACTTACTTTCACAAATTGGTTCCAGTCCACTCCACTGTCCGTTACTTTGACAAGTTCTAGACGTGTCACCAAAACGAACCATATATCCTTCAAAACATATATAAGTTGCTATAGAACCAATACCCAGGGATAAATACATTACTGCTCCATTATCTGGTCGAGATAATGCTGGACAAGAAGTGGCTGAAATTTAAAGTTATATCCATATTAATAATTGCATATTTTAAAAATAAACATATTTTTGGACCAGGAACTGGTCGCTAACCGCTACTCATCTTGTTCTAGTTCTTGTTCGTCTTGGTGTGGAGCTCTTCGGAAAAGCCTGATCACGGGATCAGACTTCGATGCCCCCAGCCCGCTTCTGTCGTAAAAAGGCCTCTTTCACCTGATTTGATTTGTTTTATTTTATCAGTATTGATGATCTGCTTACCTTTACAGTCCAGATCCTCTCCATCCCACTCCCCTGATGGTAAACATTTTCTATACGCATCCCCTAATACAGGTGTATGCCTTTCTACACATTGATAATACCACATAGCACCAACAGTTAAAGTACCATTATTCTCACCGGTAGAATTTAATATACGATATGTATTAGGTACTTCTATCGGGCCGTCACATTCTGTCCCACCTAGAATTATACATATTGTGAAATATTAGTAGTATTAGTTTCAAGATGCATTATGCAACATTTAGATAAAAAGATGGCCTTTCTCCATATAATAGTTTACAAATTGATAATGAAAAATGAATGAATACAGTAGAACTTGCTCGGGCGTGCACTCCTAATCAGCGAACACTTGCTTCAACGAGCACCAAAAAATCCCCCCGAGCGATTTTTAAGTAATTTAACCTCTACTAAACACGCACCTGTTCAACGCGCGCAACGGGCATCACGATTAATTCCCCTCGTAAAAATTCTACTGTTTCAACGGTCACTATTTTACTAATAAATTCAACAAAACATCGCCCATTCAACGGCCATTGTTGAATGATACCATCTTGTCGTTCTTTCTTTGTAACATGCCCGCTAATCCCGTGAGTAGTAGTTAATTAACTGCATAGGCGTAGGGGCCGGGGGGGGGGCAGATTTGATCTGTTTTATTTTATCAGTATTTTTAAATTTCCCTTGGGTGCTTGCTTAATACAAGTTCTACTGTATATTGAAAATTTCATTCAAATTACTTTAAAGTTCTGAATGTTTGAAGTTTTGACAAGGATAGCGTAGTTTCGATTGTCGTTGCTACAATAATAAACAAAGCGTCTATTTTCGATTTTACGGAAACGGATTAAATGGCACGGATCGTCTTCCAGGCCTTCCGATGCTATATAGGGTTAATAATGTGAATAAATGTCTAGATAATAATTTATAAAACTACCCCACCCCACCCACACATACACCAAAAAAGACCTGTCATAGCTAGATTTAGCTCTTACATAATGCATTTTAATGTGATACTATTCCCGAAGATTCACGTGGTTCAATAAATGTATTATAGTTGATAACTACAAAGTCAACTACTTACCGGTACCACTTCGAACGACACTTAATTGAATCCAAAACAAACCAGAAGCTATTAATGGTAGGTGCATTATATTTGCAAGTATACACTATAAAAAAACCCCTCACAATAGATTAATAGATTAACGTCTAGTGTTCAGCCAGAAGATCCCGAGTCTTAAACACTAAAACTTTGCTGGCCAAATTCCAAAACTGGGTTGGATTAACACTAAAACCTTGATACTACTTCCACGAACACTGTTCCGTCATTGAGAAACATCGTGTTGTTATTTTTATTACGATACCCCAGACAATAATTCATGTAATTAATTTGTGCTGGGAGATTTTACCAGAATAATAACTGAATAGAGGACAATGTCTTATTTATTCCCTGGAGAGGTCTTTGCGTGACGTCCTTTTCTTAAGAACTCAAATCTTACGCTGTCAATTAAATTGTGTTTCAATGGTGGACCATGATTAACCGGAATTATCAATATGTATGTATTCCATTTAATTACAGCCAACATTCATATTTCAATAATTACGTGGAAGAGAAATCTTATTAGAATCTCAATAGATAACTGTGAATATTCAACTGCGAAGTTTCTGTACGAAACTATAATGTTAACAGAGGCCATGGGCTGTTTTCAATTCATTTATATCTTAACATGAAATTGTATGTTTATGGTTCCTAAATGATTATCATCAACAACATTACATGTAAATGTAACGTGTAAGCATGTACAGAATTTGAGATTATTAGTATAAAATTGCCACTTACAAAGGGAAAACACGCCGGAAAATGCCAAGGAAATTCTCGTCCAAATCTGAATCGAACCCAGTACATCCAGATTAGCGAGCCACCGCAATTCAATTTAAATAAAAATTTGTTTTTGAACGTTTAAACAATGATTTTGTTGGAAGTATCAATGTAATAAATATCGAACATTTACATCTTTATTCCTCTAAGTGGTTGTGTAGTTAGGGCCCGAGTTCATTGTTTTGCCTGGGTGGGGGTATAATGCTGTTCAGACGGTCCTGGTTAATACTCTGGTTAGTTATCATGTCTCTTTTATAGCCAGATTTCACACGGCCGTAGACGAGTACGGTCGATCGGGTCGTGGGTCGTGGGGTGGGGGGTGGGGTGGGGGGTCAGATTCCATAAATTAATATGGCGCGAGTAGTGCAAGCCATTGGTCGTGAATGCTGTTAATTCGCCATGTTTTGTGTATGTTCATATACAATATTCCCTGTTTATGACGCGGTATCTAACGCTAGCTCTATGAAATGTAATAACAAGTTTTATATTCTAGATACTCAAGATTCATAGGACAATTAAGCAGCGGGTGGCCATACACTGAAATCTTCTCATTCTATTTTATATAGGGATTGGTGTAAAATTATATCTTAATGACCTTACACTTCAGAACAAACTTTAGATTAAGGCTTAGAAATTAAATAATTTCAATTTCACCAGCCCAAATGTCTCTGAGCTTTGATAGAAAATAGGGAGTGTGGCGGTTGTGGTCGTAAATTTCTGATTCCTGATCCTTTCTTCCGCTTAAAAGCCATTCAGACTCACCATTAACAGATAAAATAAACAAAATATTATTTATTTTGTTCAAGGTGAATAAGAGATTAAAATATTATTATAGATCATTAAACCAAACAGCTTGTCTTCCCCTATACATTGCTAGGCGATACTCTCAGATAGGCCGCAAGGCATTTTAACCCGCTATAAGTTACATATATTTTATGGTTGCAATGAATGATTCTTAACAACGCACCGAGACAAACAAAACAATAAATTAGTAATAGTACAAGCGTACAAACTAGTTTTCAAATTTGCCATCTTATAAAAATGTTATTATCCTCATCAGCAAATTGTTGTTGGATAAGGCGCTTACCAAAACAACTTCTGACATTCGCTATATTCTAATTATAGCTTAGGTGCGCTAATTCTCGTCAATTTTAATACATTTTAATATCTATGACGTTAATGGGTATTCGTATAAGAAAAAAAATGTTTTTAAAAAATCACCATACCAGATACTGTTTAAACAAGGAGTTATTAGACTGAATGTGAAGATCGTGTCATTGACAATAGTCGTTAGTCCAAGGGGCACAGTAAAGATGGACACGACGAAATGGACGGCACTACTTGTAATGATTATTCCCTATGTTTTAGCTAAGATTTCAAATATTCCGACCAGTCAAATATACGAAACGTGCATGAAAAGTTTTAGCCATTCGGGAACGACGGACGAACAGAAAGATTTTGCGTGCACTGTAAGCGAGAAATGGGAAATGAACTCACAAAGAACAAAGGATAGATTGTCGGATGTTGAAATTCAGTTTCTCAAGAAGTTAGAAAATTTCAATGCTTTAGACTCAAGACTAAGGTTTCCGTGTGAAAGAAAGGAATATCGTCTCTTATCAGATAAAGAAAGAAAAAGATACCATAATACCGTAAATCTTCTTAAAAATACCAGGGTTAGTATACAGCTTTTATAATCATAATACAATCTGATTAAAGTATAGATCTATATTTCTTTTCGTTTTTTTTTATACTTTCGATGGCCTACACTACATGAAGATCTGACAAGTTGTACTCGAAGGTCGTGTCAGGGGTCGTACGGGCGGCTTTTGACCTATGGCGTCAGACATTGATTAAAGAGAGAGAGAGAAATGGAGTTTAACGTCCACTCGACACAAACTAGGTCATTTCGGGGCTAACATATGGTTTTTAATTTTATTTCAATAATTCGCTTGCGCATAGGGGTCTTTAGCAGTGGGAGGAAACCGGAGGACCCGGAGAAAACCCACGAGGTTGGACAGACATTGATTAATCAATCAGCGTTGGCGTTTCTAATGCTTTACCCACAATCGCCGTAACAGACTGTTTCATTGGCTTACCCCTCCTTTTAACCAAAACGCCGGTAATAAAACAACCCTTCCAGAACCTAATGTAGTAAAGACAAGTAAAAAGAAATTTTGAACTATAAAAGACGAAACGAAATAGGATCTGTATTTTAATCCGATTGAATCATAATATTGTAAATCTCCTTAAAAATACCTAGGGTTAGTATAAAATTTATCTAATTATACCATGGTGAGCATACAGTTCTTAAACGTGCACGCCAGTTTGTACAAATAACCTCGGTTTTTCATCCCATCCGAACTACGAGGCACTATCCTTGTGAGACACCAATGACAAGGAGAAACCGCGCCAGAAAACCCGAGCGAACGCAGAATTCCTGGTTAGCGACTAGTCTCGGTCACCCAGAACCTCCTAGTCTTCAACATACGGAGGGTATGGGACAGTTGTCAATATTTGACGTAAAGTCCATTGCCCATGCGTAACCGGGAGTTTGGTTTTTAATGTGGTTGATTATCCAGTCTCTTTAGCCAAGTCCCATAATAAATCCCGTAATTCTTGCATGAATCGTGACGACTTATTAGGATTAATTTTAAAAGGATAGATATGGACCATGAAGAGTGAAATTTTACAATAAAAAATTAAGAGTGATAGATATTAAACTGACATGCAATCAAATGGATTTTTTGAAATGACATTCTTAAATTAATTTCATGGGCGTAAACATCTTGTTTTAAGAGGAGTTACCTCCTATAGACATTGTTTATGATAACGTGAAAGACCGGATTATCTAGCCAATTTTTCTCAAATGTTGACAACCTGTCCAGACTAATATTCGTAGAGACTAGTTAGCGACCCAACGTCTTGCTCAATGATCCAGTGATTTATCCAGGGATGACCACATCGCTGTGGAGTTATCAAGTCCCAAACTGTAATGAGCATTAGGTCTCCTATTTCCAGCATTCTATCCGAGTATAAATACAAATAATGTCGGAAAATGAAATAAAGGAATGGACTAGAACCATTTCATAATCACCGGTCAAATTATAACAACAAATTTAACCCCACAAGTACGTGTTAATGTCATTTGTTTTTATTTCAGTTAAGTAATGGTATAAGTCAATATGATTTATTTGTAAAAGTACATACAGCTAAGTTTGCTCCTGGTGCTCATGGTGGAGCAGGTTTCCTCCCTTGGCACAGAGAATTTCTCAAAAGGTACTAAAACGTTTTTCACACTATCATCATTTTTGTGTAGCTTGACTGCGGCCATATGTACAATAAAATAAATATTAGAATATTTTCTGTCCTATTTAAACGCTTCTATTTTTCGCTTTTATTCAAAAATGTGTTGATCTACAAATAAAATTAGAACTTTTTTGCGTTTCTATTTTTACTCTTTGCTGATTTATTAGAACTTTTCCTTTCCTATTTGTTTACCTGTCTATTTTCTTATCCATTGTGGTTAGCCTGTACTGTAGCATCCTCGCTATCCTCAGTGTACTCATTGTCGTTAGCCTGTACTGTAGTATAGAAGTAAGAATGTGATATATTGAATATCCAATGTTCTGGATTTTCACTATCAAACCACCATTGCATTTGCATATTCGAATTAAGCATTAATGTATTTTAAAATAATTTAAAATGGCGAGAAATTGCTAGAAGTATTGAAACGAACTAATGGAAGTGCTTATTGTTTGGTATTTTAGGTATGAACTAGCATTACGATCGTTTGATCCATCTGTATGTTTACCATATTGGGACAACACACTGGATAAACCTTTACAAAATCCACAAGACTCGATCATCTGGTCCAGTGAATTTCTCGGTAAGTTCCCTTGTATTTGTTTACCGTAAGTGTAAATATAAAACAGACACTATTTCTATAAAACTTGATAACATTTCCAACTGAAGTGTGTGTGTGTGTGTGTGTGTGGGGGGGGGGATTGAATGGTTAGCGCGTGCGCGCTGTATCAGAAGGTCTGTCATTGAGTCAACTGGCGTGGTTTCCATTCCAAGGTTGTATGTGACAAGGAGTAGGGTCGCCTGTCGAACCTCGTGGGTTTTCTCCGAGTCTTCTGGTTTCTTCCCACTGCTAAAGACCCCTACGCGCAAGCGAATCATTGAAATAAAAATGAGCAATATGCTAGTGCCGAAATGACCTAGTTTGTGTTGAGTGCTAGTGCCACTTGTCCTGGGGTTGCCGTCTACACACTATATCTTTGGCTTCTGAAACTGAGGTGGGAACTAGAGACCTAGTCACATCACTGACCCGACTTAGTTACCACTCGACTTGATATATTTATTGCGACTCGAGACTGATGACTCGCGACTTGAAAGAGCTTACGCTAGGTTCCCACTATCGTGCGATGCGTTACGATAGGATTGTCCCTACTGAGTCCATGATCTGGTACGTGAAGATACATTCGGATACGTTTCGATACGACCAACACGACTGCTACGACTGACCTCAATATATGATAATACCTGATAGCATCACCACGATTAAAACCACGATTTCCACGATTTCAATCGTAGCACGAATCGTGATAGAAGGAACCTAGCATTAGGGGCATACCTCTAACTTACCTTATTCGCCATAAATTGCTGACTCATTTGATGAACTGGCGACTTGAACAGGACTCAAGTTATGTGAAGACTTGGGACTCGAATCGATACGGTACTAAAGTCAGCGACTTGGGACTCGACTCGGACTCAGGGGCGGCGACTTGGGGCTCAACTCGGACTAGAGGTCCCACGATTTGTTCCCACCTCTGCTAAAATCCGTTCATTTTTATGTTATGTCAGGAGTATTGATCGAGTCAATGTATCTCTATTCTTTCTAGAACACCAGATACCCGTCCCTTTTTATTTCATGTAGCTAAAGCCGTGAAATATTGAGTTTCATTCAATTGGAAACCTCGAGGTTATATCAATGTTTCCATGTAATCACAATTAACAATGATTCCTCAATATAGGTAATGGAAATGGTTTTGTAACTTCTGGACCCTTTGCCTACTGGAAAACTCCCACCTCTGGTGGAACCTTGGATAGAAATGTAGAAACCAGTTCGTTTAATCTAATGTCAACGATTTTCATTGAAAGGATCTTGGAGAGATCTACCTTAGCCAACATCTCCTGCAAAACAAATTGTGACTTTGAAGCAGCTCATAGTGGTGTCCATTTATTTGTTGGCGGAAAAATGTCCTCTTTGGTGTCTTCCCCTGAGGACCCAGTATTCTTCATGCACCACGCGTTTGTTGATTGTATTTGGGATGAGTTCCGTGGAAATCAAAGGGTCGATCCATTTTATGACTACCCAGCTAATAATTTTGGGAACTCTTTCAACAGTCCACAAGCTCTAATGGCACCATTTCCAGACGTAAGGAATATTGACGGAATTGCGGATTATTCTAAGTATTACAGATGTACTCCGAGACCGAAATGTTCCGCGTCAAATCAGCAGACCAACTATAAATATATGCATTGCAAGGAAAACGGACTTGGGGAATCGACAATGGTTTCTGTAACAATAACTCCTCAAGCGGAATCGTGCCCGGCAACTGAAATTGAGCATCCCCAAAATTCCTATTGTATCGATGGAAGATGTGACACAGATATGTGGTCATATATTCCTGTAAGTGTAGTATACGTTCGATCACCACGTGATGCCAATGTCTTACACTCCAACCCTGTTCACAATAACCAACCCCAATTCAATATGGACGTCTACAGCGGGAACATTTTTGCAACAGCTAACTCATCCACACATAAGAACTGTGCTAATGGTGGCCCTTGCTGTACAAACAACAGAGGGGTATACCTCCATGGCTTGGGTCTGAACTACCAGGGTTCTTATAAAGAGTTTGTTTTCATTGACCCACGGATGCCCATATCGTCAGTGGAAGCTTGCGTGGGCATACCTAATCCACAAAAACATGGAGACGTTAAAGTCAGACTTAGAGCGTCTGATAGCTGTGGTCGTGTTTGTAAACCATTTTGTGGACAATATGATCCGAGTAATCTACTTCGGCCAGCATCGTATAAGCCATGTAACGGCGATATCCTCGTTGATTCCCAGTCACCACGTATGTTTAGCAATTCATTTAGAGAAGCAGTAAACGCACAATGGGATCTCTTTAATATAGATGACGCTTCTCGATTACCGTTACGTCAACAAAAATATGACTTTGTCACATTTTATTGCAATCACGAAATCTCAGATAAGCATCCTACAACAACTGAATCTCATATACATCATAAGCCCGAATACCCTCCTACATCAAGGGCACCAATAGTCGAACCTGAAATACCAATTATAGTCGAACCTGAATTTCCAAATATTGTGGAACCTGAATTCCCAGTTATAGTTGAACCTGAATTTCCAGTTATAGCCGAACCTGAATTTCCAGTTATAGTTGAACCTGAATTTCCTATAGCCAAACCAGAAATACTTACTGTTGAACCAGATATACCTTTCGCTGAACCCGAATTTACAAAAGCTGAACAATTGCCCCGAATAATTAATCCAGAAATATCAGTGCTGCCGGAGATTCGTATACCTGATATTTCAGTTTTAAACCCACAATACCCGGTAGTTAGGCCAGAACCTCCGATAGTGAAACCAGAACCTCCAATTGTGAAACCAGAACCTCCGATAGTGATACCAGAACCTCCAATAGTGAAACCAGAACCTCCGATAGTGAAACCAGAACCTCCGATAGTGAAACCAGAACCTCCCATTGTGAAACCAGAACCTCCCATAGTGAAACCAGAACCTCCCATAGTGAAACCAAAAGTATATGTAGCAGTGACACCGAAACGTGTCATGCCGACTCCAAAACCCCAGATACCGAATATTTATAATCCAGATTCAGTATTCAATTTCCCTTCTCTTTTGATGCCCTTTGTTCCTAGCTCTGTAAAAAAGAGATACTACAATGAAAGAAAGGTACCTGTAACTCCTAAACCCGATTTAAATTCTATATTTGCGTCTGCTGGTTATTACCCAAGGCAAAATTCTAGATATTACAACCAATACAGTTCCATTCCTGGTAGAAATCCACTCGGAAAATCCTCTTTCTGGAGCTACAACATGCCAAATTATTTTGGTTAATTTAAACATTTAGAAAGAAAATGTGTCAACTGTTTAAACGAACTTTTGAATGGTTAACATACTTCTTTATATTCTGTTCACGTGCTCTGGGTTGCCCAATGTACCTGAAGACTTATACCCACGAAGCAATGGGCAAATCTACACAAATTATTCTGAATGGAGCTTGAATGGAGTTATCTCTAGTGAGGTCGCAGTGCAATCATACGGCAAAAATATTAAGAGAAAAGGTAGTTTCTGTTCAAACTGAAAGTTTGTGCATAAATCAGGCATCTGAGAAAGTTAGTTTTTTTCTCATATATATTATATATTTCTCTAATGTATAAATTAATGCAAACGCCAACTTTTAATGCTGGTAATCAATTCAAAATGTCAAACAATATATAATTTAAATCATTGTGTTTATGCTCTTGTATAAATAAATTTATTATTGTATTATATTCTTGTGTACATATATATATATATTCGTCGAGTCACTTAGAATGGGATCGGGATTACTGTCTTTTCAACATATTAGTTTGGGATATTCAAATATATCCCATTGCATCCTCGTAGAATTGTGTGACGCGGAATATTTGCTCTCTCCAGGGCATCATCCTATTAAAAGTGGAAATATAACTTTCAAAATATACCCCATGTGTATTCATGAACCCAAACTACTGACAGGGGTTAATGGTTAAACGTGACACACAAAATTGTTCGATGCAAACAGCAGTGAAAAATTTAACTCTTGTCGCCAGAAGGTTCTAATCATTTTTCTTGTACTCCTAAGCTCTGTTAGGGTTGGTCTTCTTCAGTAAATCTGTCGAAGCCACACGTCCATAATAATGGGACAAACAAAACTAGTTACTGGGCTTATTATTATTTACTTCCACAAACAAACAATAACATAGTATTAATACCATTATAATATGTACAACAATACTATCATATTAAAAATAACATAAGAGCTAATTAAGAGTCATTTCTCCACGATTGCTAGTTTAAACTCCCGGCCAATCCCATATTTGGCACTACTAAACTGCTGTATCCTTTACTGGCGCAAATTTCTTTATGGGAGATTGTTGAGGCGGCAAAGGAGGGGAACCAAATTGTTTTTTATTTGGCTTTGCCGAACTGTATCGTCTGTGCATTTCTTCCGGGGGAGATGTAGATGGTGGCGGCGTGTTTATAGCTATATCAGCATCCTCGAGTCTAACAAAAGGGGACCCAAGAATAGTGGGTTCAGGAGAGTCTCCATTTTCGCTAAAGACAGGCAATGTGTAATCTTTCTCAAGACTCGGTGGAACGTCTGATTCACTTTCCAGATCAATAATTATACTCGGGGCGACTTCTTTACTACTGATATCACCGTTCATCATTTTAGGTGGAGCCGGTGTAAACATCGGTCTCGAGTTACGGTCGAATGCCTTGACTTCCGGTTGAACTTTGCTCGCCATTTTACCGCCATTATCATTCGAGTTGTTTTTCTTTTTCACAATTATGATTACTATGAGTAACACGGCCACAAGTAAAACTACAGATCCCAAAACTCCACCAGTTACGGATGCAACATCTACAGTTGCAGCAACAACCGTTGTGGTTGACATTGTCGTTGGTATAGCTGAAAAAGCGATGAGGTGAATTTAAATATGGTTTAGATAAAGTATTTAATGAAATTAATTGTAGGTAATATTGCAAAACGGCCATTAACTTGTATCCGATCTTAGCAGTTTACTATCTGTCGGAAATATAGGATATAGAACGGATTCTGAAGTCTGTGAGAATCTGAAAGTTTCCATTATGACGTAATGCCCAGAAATTGATAAATGGGACCTGATCGACACATTATTTGTGCCATTACTTGGTAACGTAACGTGTAGATGGCAAGGGAGAAGAGGTCTGTCCGGTCGGTTGTGCGCCGATACTCTTCGGTAAATAGATGCCAACTTGAGATATGTATCAGATATTGTTAGATAGGTTTTATCACCTGGTTGCGTTTAGGATTTGTGTTTCATTATGAAGGAAGCAAAAATAAACTACGAAACTAAAAATTACTTACGACAGGATCCTGAAATAACAAATTAAAAGGGTCCATTAACAACGTGAATAATCAACAAACACTAGTGGACAGGATATATTTTAGTAAAGTGTAAGTAGTACCTATGATGTCAATTAAAAATCACACGTTTTGGGTTACTATTTCAGATAGGGAAAGGTCGACATCATAATGGTAGCATATAACGTAGGGCTTCAGTTTCTCCTAAAAATGCTTTGCTTTGGAATATTAAAATATTTATAATGTTTTAATTGAAGAACTAAAATGTGTACTAAGGTCTGGCGTTGGACAAAATGCTATAATGATGAAATTTAGTTTCCTTATAAGACAGTGAAACATATCGATTTTACAAGTTATGCCCTGAATGTTGAAATACTTACCATTATGTGTTAATTTTAACGTTCCACCAGGTGAGTTAACTGTTGTTGAATTCATAAATGTTGAGTTGAGACATTCTAATGGATACTGTGTAGCGTAACTTATATCAGATCCTTTCTCAAATATCTGTGAATATCAATATAAACTATTTAAACATGAATTAAAGTACCAACATCAACACCCATTATGACAGCACATGTTAAATCTACAAGTTTAGTGAAGACAAATTAAATGAAACGAAATTTTAAACTATCAAAAACGAAACATCGAACTGGATCTGCGTTTTAATAAGGTTGTTAAATCTATGTCGTTGTTTCAAATTTGAAATGCAATTTTCCTGAAATGACACGTTGAATAGTATAAGTTAATACACATCCTGGTTTTACTAAGCAAGATAAATCCTATATTTACGAAAACCTTGATATACATGTACCCGTACTAGTGTAGAACACATGTCACTGCTGTTACACGGAGTAATGGTTTAGATTTGGGTTTCAAAAGTGGTCACATTCCGGAGTTATCCTCAGAACAATGACCAGTCAGTTTGGACAGAGGCCTGTAATAATTTAATAAGATTGTTTAAACACCCTATTCGTGCTACAGTGAAGCATACAAACAAGAAACATACTTACTACACATGTATATCTAAAGGTATTAGTATTATCAACTGTTGTATCATTATTATATAATGTAACATAGTAGGTACCAGGAGTTGGTTGATCATAATATAAACAGTATAATACACCACTATCTATAAACAACAACATAATATAAACAATATAATACACCACTATATGTAAACAACAACATAATATAATACACCACTATAGGTAAACAACAACATAATATAATACACCACTATATGTAAACAACAACATAATATAATACACCACTGTATGTTTACGAGGGATATAATCCCAGGTTTTAAAAAAACACAAACAATATGACGTTTCCTTTGCCATAGGCAATTGAATATTCCAAAATTATTATCATTATGTCTTATTGTGATAATTATAAAATAAACTAGAACTGCGAAGCAGTAATGACGGGTTTCACCGGTGCCACGTTACCCTTGAACTTATGTCACTTCCGGTACCAATGAAACCGTTAAACAGGTTTCCACATAAGCATTGCACAAATGAAATAAAATGGACTAATGACTGACGGGTATCAACATCATCAGATAATAATTTTAAGATACCAGACCATAGCCTACAAATGGTTCTGAAGGTTTTTATAAATCTTTCCAACAAATATGGTAAATATCAGCCATTTAAATTGGAGGAAAGAAAAACAAACACAATTTGCAAGAGATGGATAGAGAAGAAAGTTAAACAAGAAAGTTTTTTCATACAATAATATAATTCAGGAAGTAACAATCTGATATGAGCTAATTACCACAGGAACCAACATCTTTTGGTAATCAATTCATTTTATACATTTAGTGATCCTGACGAAATTACATTATATGCAGTGATAATGATAAAGATAAATTAGTTTTTTTAAAATCAGAAATGGCAAAGACCCAAAACCTTGAAAAGTGACTTGTAGAAAATCGTCTATTTCTCTACAACCGTACAAGTTAGAAACCATTTTGCGGTATCTGTATGATCATATGTGTTCAATATATTTGTTGAGCGGAATCAAAAATCATAATTTTAAAAACATTACAAATCAGACTCATTTGACCAAAATATCTGTTTTGAAGGCTACAAATACAGTTTTTGCCAAATTGACGTTACTTCCGGTGATAATGAAAATCTGAAATTACTTGTATGAAATCATAATTGGTAAAAGGTATCAAACAGTGAAAATTTTATGAAAATCGAATAATAATTGACAGTTGTATGGTCCAAAAACCTTGAAAAGTGACCTGTTCAAAATCGTCTATTTCTCCGCAACTGACCAAGTTAGAAAGGAATTTGTGATATCTATATGATCGTGTGGGTTCTTTCTATTAGTTGATTGGAATCAAATATCAAAATTTTAAACGAATAACAAATACAACTCATTTGAATAAATTATTTGTTTCGAAGGCTATAAATACGGTTTTTGCCCAAATTACGTAATTTCCGGTGATATTGGTAATGTTGAATTGGTTTGACCTAGTTAAAATTGACATTACGCACCAAATGGTGTAACTTTTATGAAAATCCAGTAATGATTGACTCTTTTACAGGCAAACTAGCGTAAAAAGTGACTCATGCAAAATTGCCCATTTCTCGGCAACTGCTCATATTACAAACTATTTTTCACATACATTCTCTTCGTATGGGTTATTTCTACAAGTTTATGAACGTATCAAAGAAATATTTTAATATATGAAGGCGCTGGATGGGTTGTAAATAGCTTATTTTTACCCCTTTTTTTACCTTTTAATCGAAATGGCCCGAAAACGAAATCGAAATTAAAAAAACTGAGTCCGAGATTTTGTGCACCTTAACAGTGCGCATCTTTTGGATAATATCAGATTTGTAAAAAATAATATTTGCTTTCAAAAAGTGGTACCGAACTGTCAATATTGTAGTTTTTGCTAAATTTACGCGTCTTCCGGTTCCGACAGGAAACTTTACCGGTAACAAAAAAAATGACATTTTGAACCACGGAACATATGAACTAGGTTTTATACAAATCGAACAATAAATAATTAATGTAGGACTGAAAAACTGAATTAGCCAATGGCGGCCAAGGAAAATTACGGAAACAAAAAATGTTGACATTTTTGTTCAAATCAGATGACTCTTTAACCTTGGTTAAAATGTCATATAAAAATATTAATAAATAAAAAAGATTTTTGTAAAAATTTAAATTTTCAAAATTTGGCGCCTAATATCTTCCAAGATTTGTCGAAAATCAAAAATCAAAAGTAACATAGCTATGTCCCCTGTTTCTGGCTATGTCAAAATGCATCATATGCTAAAATCCAATGATTATTGTTAATATTACGGCAATATTTCAAAAAACGACATTTTCGGTGATTTCGGACATTTCGCAATGTCGCATAATGCCGGGAATAGCTTTAATCTCTAAGTCACACCCACTTTCCCAGTAAAACTGAAGACATTGTATCGATCCGACAAGAAGTTGCTGAGATATAAGCAAATTGGAAAAAAAAAATAATAATAAGAAGAAGAATAATAATAAGAACTAGAACTGCGAAGCAGTAATGACGGGTTTCACTGGTGCCACGTTACCCTTGAACTTATGTCACTTCCGGTACCAATGAAACCGTTAAACAGGTTTCCACATAAGCATTGCACACATGAAATAAAATGGACGCAGAAACAACCAAATCCAGCAATCAATTCATTTGCTACATGTCAGTGATCCTGTCAAAATTACATTACTTCCGGTGATAATGAAAATGTTAAATTGGTTTATGAAATCAGAAATAGCATCATCACATGGTGAAAATTTTATGTAAATCCTATAATAATTGCCACCTTTATAGACCAAAAACCTTGAAAAATGACTTGTAGAAAATCGCCTATTTCTCTGCAACCGTACAAGTTAGAAACCATTTTGAGGTATCTGTATGATCGAATGAGTTCATTCTATTTGTTGATTGAAATCAAATATCATAATTTTAAAAACATTACAAATCTGATTCATTTGAATAAAATATCTGTTTTGAAGGCTAAAAATACAGTTTTTGCCAAAATGACGTTACTTCAGGTGATAATGAAAATCTTAAATTACTTGTATGAAATCGTAAATGGCATTATGTATCACACAGTGAAAATTTCATGAAAATCGAATAATAATTGACACTTTTATTGACAAAAAACCTTAAAAAGTGACCTGTTGAAAATTGCCTATTTCTCCGCAACTGAACAAGTTAGAAACCATTTTGTGATATCTATATGATCGTAAGGGTTCATTGTATTAGTTGATTTGAATCAAATATCACAATTTTAAACAAATAACAAATATGACTCATTTGAATAAATTACTGGTTTCGAAGGCTATAAATACAATTTTTGCCCAAATTACGTCATTTCCGGTGATATTGAAAATGTTAAATTGGTTTGACCTAGTTAAAATTGACATTACACATCAAATGGTGTCACTTTTATGAAAATCGAATAATAATTGACTCTTTTACAGGCAAACTAGCGTAAAAAGTGACTCATGCAAAATTGCCCATTTCTCGGCAACTGCGCATATTACAAATTAATTTTCACATACATTCTCTCCGTATAGATTATTGCTACGAGTTTATGAAAGTTACGAAGTAATATTTTAAAATATGAAAACGCTGGATGGGTTGTAAATAGCTTAATTTTACACCTTTTTTCACCTTTTAATCGAAATAGCCCGAAAACGGAATCGAAATTAAAAAAACTGGTCCCAACATTTTGTGCGCCTTTAAAGAGCGCACAATTTCAGTTATACCAGATTTGAAAAAAAAAAATTTGCTTTCGAAAAATGGTACCTAACTGTCAAAATTGTAGTTTTTTGTCAATTTACGCCACTTCCGGTGCCGACAGATAACACTATTGGTAACAAAAAAAATGACAATTGAGACAACAAAGCATATGAACTTTGTTTTATACAAATCGAACAATAAATAATTAATCTAGGACTGAAAAACTGAATTAGCCAATGGGGGCCAAGGAAAATTACCGAGACAAAATTTTTTCACATTTTTGCCCAAGTCAGAGGACTCGTTATATTTGTGTGAAACACGACCAAAAAATATTCATAAATAAAAAAGTTTTTTGTAAAAATTTAAATTTTCTAAATTTAGCGCCTAATATCTGCGAAGATTTGCCGAAAATTATAAATCAAAAGTAGCGTAGCTATGTGCCCCGTCTCCGGCTATGCCAAAATGCATCCAAAGTTAAAATCCAATGATTATTGTTAAAATTACTGCAATATTTCTAAAAACGATAGCTTCGGTGATTTCGGACATTTCGCATTGTCACAGAACGTTCAAAATAGCTTTATCCTCTAAGTCACACCCACTTTTCCGATAAAACCGAAGAAATCGTAACGATCCGACAATCAATTGCTGAGATCTACTCAAAACAAAAGAAGAACTACAACTGCGAAGCAGTAATGACGGGTTTCACCGGTGCCACGTTACCCTTGAACTTATGTCACTTCCGGTACCAATGAAACCGTTAAACAGGTTTCCACATAAGCATTGCACACATTAAATAAAATGGACGCAGAAACAACCAAATCCAGCAATCAATTCATTTGCTACATGTCAGTGATCCTGTCAAAATTACATTACTTCCGGTGATAATGAAAATGTTAAATTGGTTTATGAAATCAGAAATAGCATCATCACATGTTGAAAATTTTATGTAAATCCTCTAATAATTGCCACCTTTATAGACCAAAAACCTTGAAAAATGACTTGTAGAAAATCGCCTATTTCTCTGCAACCGTACAAGTTAGAAACCATTTTGAGGTATCTGTATGATCGAATGAGTTCATTCTATTTGTTGATTGGAATCAAATATCATAATTTTAAAAACATTACAAATCTGATTCATTTGAATAAAATATCTGTTTTGAAGGCTAAAAATACAGTTTTTGCCAAAATGACGTTACTTCCGGTGATAATGAAAATCTTAAATTACTTGTATGATATCGTAAATGGCATTATGTATCACACAGTGAAAATTTCATGAAAATCGAATAATAATTGACACTTTTATTGACAAAAAAACCTTAAAAAGTGACCTGTTGAAAATTGCCTATTTCTCCGCAACTGAACAAGTTAGAAACCATTTTGTG